CTTCTCGATGTGATAGTACCAGGGCAGACCTTGAACACTGTGACTTGTCATCCAAACTGGGCATCTGTGAAGGATGGAAAGGGAACTATTCATGACTGGGTGGGGACAGTGGGCTGAAGCCAGAGTGGGCCCACCCAGCCCCTGCATGACGGTTCCTCCAGACCACGAGCGTGCACAGCCAGCTCGCACACATGGGCCCTTGGGTTCCGAGAGCAGACTGGAGGCGGGGAGGGCTGAGGAGCAGCTCTCAGCCTGCACAGGATGCTTAGCTGAGGTTTGGTACCTGCTGGGAAGGAACTGTCCACACTTATTTCCTCCTTCGCTGACGCTCTGCCTACTTTTCCTTGGACTTGAATTTCTAGAACGTGCTTGACAGAGGAGGAATGGAGAGGGAAGCCAGGGGAGACTCTGTCCATGGAACCAGAAGCAGCAGGGAGGGAGAGGTTTTGGGGAGCTTGGGGAAGATCACCATGTCATGGAGCCCTTGCATTGGACAGCCCCCAAGCTTCCGCTGTAGCTCTGGGAAGAGGTGGCTAGAAGGAACGCTCCCAAGCCGCAAGCCGGGAAGAGAAACCAGTTCCTAGTCTATTGTGTCTGGTTTCTTTCATTTGCACGCAACTGCCAAGTCCTTGGGCATGGCTGAGGCCTTTGAAGCCATCAGGTCACACAAAAAGACACCCCAGCCTGACTTGAGAGTCCTCTAGAATGAATTCCAAGCTCAGAAGAGAGGGCAGAGGAGAGAGAGGACCTGGTACCTTGTGCTAGCACGTGACCCACACACAGGAGGGTCTACAGCAAGGAGCAAACCAGATTGGACAGAGGGTTTGCAGTGTGGGGGATGACAGAGCAGCCTGTGAAGGGACAGGCTATGGGAGAGGGCGAGGAGAAAGTGTGAAGGCAGGAGAGAGAGTGCGTGAGGAGGGAATGCAACACAGTGGAAGTGAATGCATTGCTAAACAGGACAGGAGCTTATCAGCCGGTGGCTATGTGGGGAAGGGTCTCAGTAAGTGGTTTTTCTTGGCATGGACACCAGATTGTCGCGGCAGACCGGGTCAGTGGTTGGGATGGAGACTGGTAGAGAAAGGAGAGAGAAGTAGCGTGAGGGTTTGTGGACATGCAGCTCCCCGGAATGATTTCCAAAGGGAAGACGAGTGTCACTTGGTCACTTTTGGTGTCAAAGGAAGCAGATGGAAACTTTGGGAAGGTGGGTTCAGGAACAATCACTAAGGAAATCAAGGGAGAGAAAATCTGCAGAAGTAGAGAGGCTCAGGGGATAATTGGGAACTTCGAGGTGATGGTAATGTCAGGAAATGGGAAGCTGGAGTTGGCTAGAAATGAGACCCCCACACCACCATCCCCATCGCAGTACTGAAGATGACCGAGCATTGGGCCAGAGATCTGTCTCAAAAGGTTCCATCCCCAGAATGCCATGATCCCCAGCCACTGCTGGGTATAATTCCTGAACAACAATAATAGCAACAAAAGCAACAAACTTTGGATTTACAGCTCAGATATTAAGACACTGCTGATTTACTAGGTCTGTTTTATTTATTTTTGGTTTGGGGACCATACCCAGCTTCTCAGGGCTTTCTCCTGACTCTGCACCCAGGGATCACTCCTGGTGATGGTCAGGGGACCATATGCAGTGCTTGGGATTGAATCGGGGTGGCCACATGCAAGACAAGTTCCTGAAAGCTGTCCTGTCTCTCCAGTCCTCTGTGTTTAAACCAACACTTCCTTCTGCTAATGCTACAGTCTGCTGCCTTGTTTTATTATTTATCTGACTAATTTTTTTCAGGGACTTTTACTGTTTTATCTGGCTTTGTTCATTGTAATTCTATATGACCTACATATTTATGCTTTCTGCTATGCTCTGTTCAGTTCTGCTTTGAACTAGGGTCTCTCTCTCTCTCTCACTCTCTCTCTCTTTCTCTCGATCTTTATTTTGTTTCCAATTGGAGGGATGTTTTTGCTGGGTATACAGTGACACCTTAGCAGTTACTTTACTTGGGTCATCTATTGAGTCTATCCCTGACTTCAGGGTATTTTGAGAACCTCAGTTTTAATAATAATGATGACGATGGTGATGATGATGATGATAAAACTATACTCCTTGTCCCCACAGAATTAGAAACTTCCAGACACTCCATCTATAGGTCGCTGGAAGGATCTTTTATTCTGTGGACATTTATTCTGTGAGAGGAAATTCCCCGGAGCATCTGTAGAGAAAAGTAATGTGCTGCTAAAGGACCCCTTGGTTTGCTCAATCAGCAAAGTCTGAGGGAAAGCAAAGAACAGCCAAGTCTGGAAGACCAGTTACTAGGCTATTGCAAAACTCGGATGGCATTGCATTGCTTGTTTGGCTGTTGAAATGATTTAAGAGCCTCAACTCTTGAGCTCTTTGAACTGTTTCTCCCTCCTGGTACTACCGTCATTTATTTGTGACATTCAGTGATATCATGATTTTGGGCAGCCCCATTTTTTTCACTTGTAGGTGAAAAATAAAAAATCCAGCAGTGAGCTCTGCGGCCCTGTGCCCTTCATAGAACTCTCCCTATCCCGCCCTTTCCTTCCTTCAGCGTTATTACCTGGAGTCTAGATTCTCTCCATAGGCAATCAAACCTCTTTCACTTTCTTTCTTTCTTTCTTTCTTTCTTTCTTTCTTTCTTTCTTTCTTTCCTTTCTCTTTCCCTCCCTCCCTTCCTTCCTCCTTTCCTCTTTCCCTCTTCCCTCCCTTCCCCTTCCTTCCTTCCTTCCTTCCTTCTTTCTTTCTTTCTTTCTTTCTTTCTTTCTTTCTTTCTTTCTTTCTTTCTTTCCTTTCTCTTTCCCTCCCTCCCTTCCTTCCTCCTTTCCTCTTTCCCTCTTCCCTCCCTTCCCCTTCCTTCCTTCCTTCCTTCCTTCCTTCCTTCCTTCCTTCCTTCCTTCCTTCTTTCCTGTGGATTCACTGCCATTCAACAAATCACAAATGAAGAGGCTACAGCATTTTCTGGTTTTATTTGAGGGGAGAGGGTGTCACACCTGGAATTGCTCAGGGCTTACTCCTGAGTGGTGCTCAGGGTACCATCTGGGATGCCAGGGATCCAACCTGGGTTGGCTCATGCACAGAAAGTGCCCTACCCTCTATACTATCTCTCTAGCCCCGGCTGCAGCATTTCCCGTCAAGGACCTCCTTGTCCAAGAGAAGACACCGATGTGCCTCCTTTTATTCCAAGGTCATAGGCAGAGCAGTAGAAAAGAATGGTTTGGAGACAGGTGGGAGTGAAGCTGTTGAGAAACCTGTGTTGATTTGTGGAGAATAACTACATTCACAGAATATCAGTACATGGGGGAGAGGGCGTGACCATGGTTGAAGGGACAATATGTTCCCTTTGTACAGAATGGTGGAAGCAACAAGACTTAGGGAAATTACAGAGAAACTGATATAGGTGAATTTTAAGTAGTTTTTGAGCATCTTACTTAAAATCCATGCCTCAATTGTATTTAACATGCTGTATGGTAGTACTGTGACCGTTGGTTTTCATTTGCAGATAGCATCAGTGGACTCCTTTAAGTAAGGGCCCATTACTCATTTTTCTTGGTATGTGTAGCATCTGTCCAGGATGCAAGATGTAGTAGTCACTTGGTAAATGTTTATGTCATTACACGTGGATTCTTTATACCTTTGAAAGATTTTTTGCGTAAGTTTTATACAATTGTTATATCTGGAATGAATTTATCTATCTTCACATCCATCCATCACTCACCTGATTTTAGTATGGCTTTTCAATCAGGTCCGAGGTCTTCAGTATAGAAATTAAAATTAAGTGCAGTTTACTAGAGATTTATAGTAAGACTGCATTTAGATTTAGTGCACCACATATCACATATCCAGGATGGAATATTTAAACAATGAAATGTTAAATTTCTTCTCGGATTTTAACAGCTATTAAGAAATGAGAGATGAGTAGAAGCAGCTTAGGCCTCCCTCCTGCTCTGTCTGGGAAGCTGGGAGCCCCGTGAATATCTCTCCAGCCACTCTGGTTTCCTTCTCGCATCTCTCCTGCAATATTGAACACCAGATGGAGACATTTTTACAGTAGAAAAGATTCAACAGACGGTTTTAAGAATTTTGCAGCCGGGCTGGGGCAGGGCCCATAGTGTGTTGGGTCTCTGGGCTAGAACACAGATATAGAGCTTTCTAGCTCAAGAGGGTCCCAAAGGGCATTTCACCCTCCTGGGAAAGCAGTGCAAATGTGCTAGAAGTGTGAACTTCAGGGGAAAAGACACGCAAACTGTGACCATCTTAACAATGCCTAGTGGTATTCTGAGAAAAGTTGGCATAACCAAATCACAGACTTGTGAAAAATCTTAGTGGCTGCCTGGTTATTAATGAGGAAATAAAGAGAACGGAGCACCCAGTCTTGAATAAACACAGTGCTTTATCTTCAGTCGTTTTGTACATCTTTTTGAGTTTGTGGGTTTACCTTTTAAGAAAATGCCTCTGAGAAAATGCCTAAATCAGCCTCGACCCCAATATATAGAAAGGAGAAAAAAAGAAAAGAAGTCAAAGTGGTGAGGGGAAGGAGAGAACGGGAAGTCATGGGTGAACAGACATCAGAGCTTCAGTTATACCAGTGATATGAATTGGGGGTCTAGTCATATTCCCAAAACACAGTATTCAACAGAACTGAAAACATGAGACCATGAAGCATGAAAACATGGTTCAAAACAGCAACCATGGAAACTTAGTAATGTGCCTATCAGATGGGAGTGGGGTGGGGGTTGGGCTGGGGAGGGAATCTGGGGACACTGATGGAGGGAAGTTGACATTGGTGGAGGGATTGGTATTGATTGTTGTATGCCTAAAATGCAACTAACAGTAACTATAAATGATGGATGTTTAATATTTTTTTAAAAAAGAATTTAAGGAAAAGAAGAAGAGCTTGCTTTGCCGAGAAGGCTGGTCCCTATCATGGTTGCCGCCAACGTCCTCTCTCTCTCTCTTTCCCTTCCTCCTTTAGTACCTTTTTGCCACATATGTGGCTCCTTCAGCCCCTTTTGACATCAGACTCAGAAAGGAAAAGAGAAGAGAAATTTACATGCGGATGCAGCCGCCGTTTGAGGATCTCTTTGACACAGCAGAGGAATATATCCTGCTCCTCCTCCTGGAGCCCTGGACGATGATGATCAACTCAGACCTGGATGATTACAGAAAGGTACTCTGACCCACATCCGTGAACTTCTTTCTTTGCTTTAATGCTTAGTTCATTTTTTAAATTGAATTGTCATGACTTACAATTCTATTGTAATCATCATTTTTCAGTTGCACAGCTACTACACCACCATGAACTTATTGCTATATTTTTTTATTTTTTCAATTTTTTAATTGAATCACCATGAGACGGACCCTTACAAAATTGTCCATGAATGGGCTTCGGCCATACAGTGTTTCAACACCCATCCCTTTACCAGTGTACATTTTCCAGCACCAGTGCTCCCAGGTTCCCTACCAGCACCCCCAACTCTGCTTCCCCCAGTCTGCCTCCTCTATGCCAGGCTTCCCCCCCGCCCTCTCTCCACCCCCACCTTTGGGCATTGTGGTTTGCAATATAGATACTGAAAGGTTATCAATGTATATCCCTTTACCTACATTCAATACTTCGTTGCTGTCCAAAACGATCATTTCCAACTATTATTGTTACACTGGTTCCTTCTCTATTTTAACTACCCTCAGTCCCTCACACACTTGTGGTAGATTCCAACCATTTACTAGTCCTCTTGGGCCCTGTTTCCCCTGGCCTTGGATATTAGTCTCAGATTTTTTTTAAATATTTATATCCCAGAACCCAGCCACAGCCATGCTTAAGACTATTCTCCACACGCTCAGATGAGCCTCACACATGAAGGAACCAGCAGAGGAACCCAGGTGTGCGGGACCTGGGGCTGAGATCTCCAAGGCTGCTCAGATCAGGACTGGACCTCCTCCACCCAGATCCCCCATCTTCCAGTAGCTAGACAGTTACACCCACCAACTGCCGTGTAACCCCATCAACGGTCAAGATCCAGAGACTATAAAACCAAGCTCCTGGAAGAGCATGGTGGCATTTGCAGCCGTGCAACCTCTTGTTGTCTAGTTCTCGCTCTCAGAGAACCCGGCAGGCTACCGAGAGTATCTTGTCCACATATATGCCTGACTGGGAACACCTGTAAAGGTGATTAGAGGCGGCCCCAAAAGCCTCCATGCCTCTCGGGAGCCTGGCAAGCTACCGAGAGTATCCCGCCCGCACGACAGAGCCTGGCAAGCTACCCGTGGTGTACTCGATATGTCAAAAACAGTAACAATGATGGTCCTCATTCCCCTGACCCGGATAGAGCCCCCAATATGCCATTGGGCTACACTAGCACGTTACAGGGATGAATGGAGACGTTACTGGTGCCCGCTCGAGCAAATCGATGAAAAACAGGGTGATAGTGATAGTGATCTTGGTCACTATTTCTTATGAGGTGCAGAATCTTCTTAGTTTAATGTAGTCCCCCCTTTTTTTAAATCTTTGCTTCTGCTTGCTTGGTCAGTGATGTTTCTTCTTTAAAGATGCCTCTAATTTCAATGTCATAGAGGTTTTTGCCTACCCTTTCTTCCATGTACCTTATGGATTCAAATCTGATGTTGAGGTTTTTAATCCATTTTGATCTGGCTTTTGAACATGGTATTAGAGATCTGAGTTCATTTCTTAACCTGTAGCTGTCCAGTTTTCCCAGCACTGCTTGCTGAAGAGGCTTTCCTTGCTCCACTTCATACTTATTTTTATTATTATTGTGATCAGTTTCCCTGTTGTCTTCTAACTAAAGATTAAGTCAGCATCAAAACTTTACTTCATTCTACAGATATATCAAGAAATCTGGGCTGCGGTTCCTTGTGGGGACCAGCCGGGACGTGATGTGACGTGGGCTCTGCTGGCACTGCCCACCTCTTTCCATGTCTTAGCAGCGGCTTTAAATTTGGATAAAGGGAAAAGCTTATTTAATTTTAGTCTGAGTCCATGAATTCGCCCCTCCACTCACACCCCCCACACACACTGTTATTCTCCTTGATAAGAAGGGGGGAGGAAGTGTATTTATTATTGTTTGGTTTGCTTTGGTTGGGGGAGCCATAGTCGGCAGTGCCTGGGAGCTACTCCTGGCTCTGTGCTGAGGGGGGACCATGTGGTGCTGGGGATCACATTGGGGTCAATTCATGCACGGCATGTGACTTAACCCCTGCATTAGCTCTCTGATTCCTGGCTTACTGAATTAAATGACTGAACTCATTCTTTTTTGGGGGGGGTCACACCCAGCAATGCACAGGGGTTACTCCTGGCTCTGCACTCAGGAATTACTCCTGGTGGTGCTCGGGGGACCATATGGGATGCTGGGGATCGAACCGGGGTCTGCCGCATGCAAGGCAAAAGCCCTACCCACTGTGCTATCACTCCAGCCCCTAAACGTTCATTCTTATCTCTTTTTGTCCTAAAATTTAGCATTGGATCTTTTCTCTTATAAAAACATGTGTAGATTACTCTAGGAAAATTAGTATTTCATGTGGAATTTTAGAAAGTTCTCTCCAGACATTATTATTTTAAATATAGAATATGGTATAGAGGAACATGTACTTGAGATGACATAAATGTTTTGAATTATTAATAGCTTCCCTAATCCAGAGGGTTTGGGTATTAGCAATTCTCAAAGGTGTGGGGACAACTTGCATATTTGCCTTAATAATTGGTAAAGGACTGCAGGAATAGTACAAAGATTCTTGCACACAACTGACCCAGGCTCCATCCCTGGCACCACATATATGGTCCCAAGACACCTTCAGGAGTGACCCCTAGACACAGAATTAGGAGAAAGCCCTGAGCACCCCTTGGTGTGACCCACAAATAAAAGGGGAAGGAAGGGAGGGAGGGAGGGAAGAAGGAAGGAAGGAAGGAAGGAAGGAAGGAAGGAAGGAAGGAAGGAAGGAAGGAAGGAAGCAGAGGGAGGGAGGGAGGGAGGGAGAGAGGGAAGGAAGGAATGAAGGAAAATTTATTTTAAGGGGGTGTTCCCCGTGAGAACCACCAGGAGTGATACCTGAGTACAGAACCAGGAGTAAGTCCTGAGCACGGCTAGCTGAGTGTGACTCAAAACACGCAGAGACAGTGCGGGTGGTGGTGGTGGTGGTGGTGGGTAGAATAAATCTTTAAATTCTAAAAATTTTTTTTGGTTTTGTATTTTTGGGTGTTTTGGGGGGAAGGGGACATTTGCAGTGGCGTTCAGCACTTACTCTTGGCCCTGCATTCAGGGATCACTCCTGGTGGGCTCTGGAGGCCACATAGAGAGCCGGGGATCAAACCCAGGTTGAACTCAGGCAAGGCAATTGCTCCAGCCCCTCTAGGAGCACTGACTAATAATAATAATGATAACAACAGCAACAACAAAAACAAAAACAACAATAAAACCACTTTAGCCATAAAACCACCTTGTCTGAAAGTCCGTCATGACTGTTGACCAGGGAGGGTCACGGAGACCACCAATGCCAGCTCTTAAGGACTAGAAGTTCCTTCGTGCTCAGCCAAACTGGCTCCTCCCTGAAGCAAGGGACAGGGAAGTCACCTTGTCCTGCTGACTCTATGGGACACTGATGTACACAAGGATTGAGATTTCCCTTGAGCCTTCACATGGCGGGTGGGCTCCACCCTTGCTACAGCGGGAGGCCTCAGCTTCCGATGTGATGGAATCTGGCTCGCTCTGCCTCATCTGTGGGTCTCTGATCCATGACTATTTTCTTGTCCTAATGAGTAGTAGCTGGACATGTGACCCAGCATGTTCTGTTGCTGATTAGATCAGTGGTGTGTACAGAAATGAGGCATGATCTCCAATGATACCTGTGCCTTTATTTCTTGTGCATTTGAAGTCTTGGCTCTACTCTCACATTTCTCTCTCTCTTTCTTTCCTCCTTCCTTTCTTTCTTTCTTTCTTTCTTTCTTTCTTTCTGTCTTCTTTCTGTCTCCTTTCTTTTTCTTTCTTTCTCTTTCTTTCTTTCCTTTTCTTCTTGCTTCCCTCCCTCCTTCCGTCCCTCCCTACTTCCTTTTTTCCTTCCTTTTTTCCTTCCTTTTTCCTTCCTTTTTTCCTTCCTTTTTTCCTTCCTTCCTTCCTTCCTTCCTTCCTTCCTTCCTTCCTTCCTTCCTTCCTTCCACCCATCCCCATCTTCTTGGTTCCTACCCGCCAATGCCCAGGCCATATTCCTGGCTCTGCACTCAGGAATTTCTCCTGACGGTGCTCAGGGGATCTTATGGGATGCCGGAGATCAAACCCAGGTCAGTCATGTGAAAGGCAAATGCCCTCCCCACTATGCTATCGCTCCAGCCCCTGCTCTCATATTTCTAACTCTGCCTTCTTACCTTTGCCGCCCCACACACTTGGTTGCCAGGCTTGTGTATCTCATTGGCCCATGTTCCTGGCTTGGTTGCTGTTCACACCCCACTTTTCTTTGTCAGTACAGTGTGCCCGTGTTACAAACTTTGTCTTTCTTTGATCAGGTGAAGCTGGTTCAAGGGACCCGGCAGCTGGACTCCACGTACTTCCGGAAGCTCCAAGCTTTGCACAAAGAGACCATTTTCGAGCAGACTAAGGTAAGACAGCTCTCTCCTTAGAAAAACATTAAAAGTACATCCTGGGGAAGAGATCACCACCGTGATGCTGACAGGGGAGTGGATAGTGGATCCAAGGGATGCTCTGTTGACACAATAGGGGATAGGCAGCTTTCATCGTTTCCTTGCCAGCAAGCTCATATGGGATTCATGTCGCACATCACTGATGACGTTTAGTGACCAGGCAGGTTGGGGTCAGGGAAGGCAGCCATCGCCTGATCTAGCTATTAGCCTCCCCACCCCAGTAGGTTGCTTTGAATGTTACCAGTCATTTTCCATATGGCAGCAACTCTGCTGCCCAAGATGCATGAGTCCAAACAGATAAGAAACAGCAACAGGGAAAATAATAATGAGAGAAATATGGGGAGGATTTGGAGACATCAGTAAGATCATCGGATAGCGGAGGAGGATTTGCATGCCATTTTGATGGATACATTTGCAGCTTTTGAGCTGACTGTCCTAAACTATGACCGCTCTATTGGGCTGGAAAGTTTTGTGTGTGTGGCTAGCATAGAGGCCAGAGAGATGGTTTGGAGGTTAAAGCACTTGCTTGGCATGCAGTTGTGCCCACGACCCTCGTCTGAATCCTGGAACCATGTATGCCCGCCCCCCCCCCCCCCCCGAGTACTGCTAGGCATGGCAACTGAGCACCACCCGGTGTGGCCCAAAACCCAAAAAAGAGAAAGATGGTGATAATGTATATGGATATCTACTGCTGTGGTAAATGCTCGAGACATAGTGCGTAACAATGTCAGAACAGACATGCTGGTATCTTATCCTCACGCTTAACTTGGATTCGGTTTGCACAGATAGGCCTGTGCAAAAGGAGCCATTTGGGTATAGGTCGCCACAGTTTTCATTTCCTATTAGTTCCGGGGGTGGGGGATGGGATAGGAGGGAGGTCCCAGATGCTGTGTCAGTCTCTTTTTCTGCCTGTGTGATATTTTAATTATTTTGAATAAAGTTTTAACACAAACAGTGCTTTTTGTTTGTTGGTTTGTTTTTAGCCTTGGTTTGGGGGCCACTTTCAGTACTGCTCAGGTCTTCTGGTTCTGCACCCGGCGATCACTCGTGGCAGGTCTTGGGGGACCATGTAAGGGGGGTTGGGATCAAACCCAGTTGGCTGTGTACAAGACAAGCACCTTACCCATTCTACTATCACTCTGGTCCCATATTTTTTTAAATGTATCTTTGCAGTAGTTTTTGAGACAATGTAAAGTAATAGAACTGAAAAGATACATAAATTTCTAGGGGTGGGGGGGACAGAGAACAGTAAATGGATAAGGTACGGGCCTTTCATGTAGCCCACCCTGGCTAGATTTCTGGCACCGCATATGGTCCCCAGAGCCCAGCCAGGAGTGATCCTGACATAGAGTTAGAAATAAGTCTTGAGTATCAGTGGGTGTGACACAAAAAGAAAAGTGTCTGTGCAGGTAAGGTAAAGGTAAAGGCCCTCCTGTTGATCGTCGATTTGCTCGAGCGGGCCCAGTAATGTCTCCATTGGAGACTTTGTTGTTACTGTGTCTGGCATATCGAATACTCTCGGTAGCTTGTCTGTGCAGCTAGTTGTATTTTAAACTGAAACAGAACTAAAGTAACTTTAAATAAGCTAAGATGTATAACACCCTTCATTTTCCTTCTACCCATGGAAAATTCATTTTGGTAGGGGCTGGCCAGGATTTGGGCCACACTGAGGCTCTTTCTCAGTTTGCTGGGGGCAGTCCTCGTGGTGATCAGGAGACCAGGCCAAGTGCTGGGGATTGAGCCGGGGCTGGCGGCCTGCAAGGAAAGTACTGAGATTCCTGTGTTAACTCTTTGGCCAAAGGAAAATTGATTTTTAAAGTATAGGTACTATATTTCCTGGTCTGTTGCTTTTCAAAAAGATATAGGGATATTAATTATGTTAGAAGTCATCATAAGAAAGGTTTTTCCAAAGAATGAACTTCTCTGGGTCTTTGCTCTGTAGGACTCATATATTGTCCATAGAATATCAGCGGAAGTTAAAATGCCTAGAATTGCGCGAGAGATAGTAATAGGGTCAGGGTGCATATCTTACATGCAGTCAATCCCTGTTCAGTCCCCTGCACCATCTGTCCTCCAGCATTGCTAGATGTAGCCCTAGAGGCTTCCAAGCACTGCTGGGGTAGCCTGGTTATCCCTCGCAGTGAGGGGCTGGAGCAGTGCCTCATTCTTAAACCTGACCATTGAACCATCTGGCCCAGTCGATCGAGAGTTGCCAAGATAAATATGATTTAACTTTTATATGAATATTGCATTTATATTTGTTTGGTTGGTTTGGAGACCACATCTGGCTGTGCTCAGGGTTTACTCCTTGCTCTGACCTCAAGGATCACTCCTGGTGTGGGGCTCAGGACCATATGTGATGCCAGGGATTGAATGCTGGTCAGCAGCAAGCCAGGCAAGTGCCTTAACCCCTGTGCTGTTTTTCCAACCCTAAAGATTACATTTTAAGAATGAACTGTTAAAAACTATGCTTCTAGTTGAAATTAAATTATTTTATTTTTATTATTTATTTATTTATTTATTTATTTATTTTTTGCTGTTTTGGGTCAGACCCGGCAATGCACAGGGGTTACTCCTGGCTCTATGCTCAGAAACTGCCCCTGGAAGTGCTCAGGGGACCATATGGGATGCTGGGAATCGAACCCAGGTCAGCTGTGTGCAAGGCAAACGTCCTACCGGCTGTGCTTCTGCTCCAGCCTCTAAAATTAATTTTTTTTTAATTTTAGGAACAGGAGTGAATTATACTACTACTGTTAATGACAGGGTTTCACACACACACAATGTTTCAGTACCACATACCCTCCACCCCACCCCACCCCCATCTCCCCTTCAACCTACTCCCCGTCATCCACCAATGTAAACTCATTAAAAAAGTATCTTGTGTTATTCTATAGCTTTTTAAAATTCAGTTATAGATCGAAGAGTGTTTTCTGTTCATGATATATTGTTTAAAAAGATGTACCGAGAGAGAGAGAGAGAGAGAGAGAGAGAGAGAGAGAGAGAGAGAGAGAACAGTGTGTAAGGTGCTGGCCTTGCATGCAGCTGGCCTGCAAGAACATAGGGTCTCCCGGGCCCCTTCAGGAGTGATCCCTGAGCACAGAGCTAACTGGGTGTGACCCCAACACAAACAACAACAGCAAAAAGAGCCACTGTGAAAAAAAGAAAAACCCCACCATACATTGGTAGTCCCATCTTCATCTTAAATACCACACCCACCCACACCCACACCCACCACACACCCCCCCCTCCACACACATAGACTAGAAGGACATATAAAAATGACAGTACATGTATATACTACACATATTACATTAGGGATGGTTCTCACTGAATAGTAGCCTTTTGTTTTCATCTATTACAAAAGCATCACTTCTATAAACGCTCTTGAAACAAGAGGAATGGAGTGAAAAGAAGTGATTACAAGATGATCACTTCATTACGAGGTTGATCTTGACCCTGAATTCTTAGTTCTGCTCTTGAATTCTTAGGTGGACTAGAAGTGGCATGAGGACATTGATGGGGGATAATGGGATGCTTTGGTGGGGGAGATACAGTCCTGCTTTTGCACCTAATACACTACTTTTTTTAATTTTTATTTTTTATTTTAATGTAGGAATACTGCTATTTATTCAGCCACTGATTAGGTAAAGGTAAAAGGTAAAGGCCCTCCCGTTGATCGTCGATTTGCTCGAGCGGGCCCAGTAACGTCTCCATTGGAGACTTTGTTGTTACTGTGTCTGGCATATCGAATACTCTCGGTAGCTTGCCGGCCTCTCCGAGAGGGGCAGAGGAATCGAACTCGGGTCGGCCATGTTGGCCGCTTGTAAGGCGAACGCCCTACCCGCTGTGCTATCGCTCCAGCCACTGATTAGCTGATTGAATTGGGCATGAACTCCATCTTACTATTTTTCCATCATTTTATTTATTTATTATTTTTTCTTCTTATATTTATTTATTGAATCACTGTGGGAAAAGTTACTAAGCTTTCAGGTTTAAGTCTCAGTCACACAATGATCAAACACCTCTCCCTTCACCAGTACTCATTTTTCACCACCAAGAACCCCAATATATCCCCCTTCCACCCCTCCCAATGCCTGTGAGGCAGATGATTTCCACTTAACTATTCTCTACATTGATTACATTCATTATTTCGACAAACGATGCACCATTATTGTTTAGAATGTCCCTCCCAACAATCAGAATTGCTGAAAAGGCATTGTGAAATACTTAATACACTACTTTTTAAAAAAAAATATATTGAATCACTGTGAGATAGCTTTCATGTTTGGGTTACAATCACACAATGATCAAACACCCATCCCTTCACCAGTGCACATTCCCCACCACCAGTATCCCTGGTATACCCCCCCTTTCCCACCCTCCCCCTGCCTCCATGGCAGACATAATTCCACATAATCTCTCTCTACTTTTGGTCATTACAGTTTGCAATACAGACCCTGAGTGGTTATCATGTTTGGTTCTTTATCCACTTTCTGCACACATCTCCCATCCTGACCGATTCCTCCAGCCATCTTTTTCTTAGTGATCCCTTCTTTATTCCAGTCGCCTTCTCTTCTTTGCTCATGAGGCAGGCTTCCAGCTATGGAGCAATCTATCTGTCCCGTGTATCTACTATCCTTAGGTGTCAGCCTCATTTCATGTTGCTTTATATCCACAAATGAGTGCAGTCCTTCTATGTCTGTCCCTCTCTTTCTGACTCATTTCACTTAGCATGATACTTTCCATGTCTATCCATTTCTAAGCAAAGTTCATGACTTCATCTCTTCTGACAGCTGCATAGTATTCCATTGTGTAGATGTACCAAAGTTTCTTTAACCAGTCATCTGTTCTAGGGCACTTGGGTTGTTTTCAGATTTTAGCTATTGTGAACAGTGCTGCAATGAACATATAAGTACAGATGTCATTTCTACTGTGCTTTTTTGCATCCTCGGGATATATTGCCAGAAGTGGTATTGTGGGATCATATGGAAGCTCAATTTCTAGTTTTTGAAGGACTGTCAATATTGTTTTCCAGGAAGGTTGGACCAGGAGGCATTTTCAACAACAGTGAAAGAGTGTCCCTTTTCCCCACATCCACGCCAGCACTGGTTGCTTTTGTTCTTTTGAATGATACTCTACTTTTTAAAAAGAAGAGTTGATTTTTATATAATATCTTCTTTTTAGGTTTGGAAAATAATGTTATGTTTGAGATTTTTATGCAAAGTATTTTTTTTACCAGGACACAGTGGAGGACTTTGGACATAGTATTTTGCAATTTCCTAGTATTAATAAGCAAACAGAATATTGGAATCATGTTCCTGAACAATTTAAAGATTTTACTTTTAATGATCTACTTAGCAACAAACTGGAATTTGAACACTTCAGTCAATTTCTCGAGACTCATTATTCAAGGTGAGAAATGGAACCATTTAAGAATGTATCATCTTTCAACAAATACCCTAAAGGAAAGAGAGAGCAAAAGGGAATGCCCTGCCACAGAGGTGGGGGGGATAGGGGCGGTGGGTAGGGAGGTTGGGGTTCATTGGTGGTGGAGAATGGGCACTGGGGGAGGGATGGGTACTTGATCATTGTATAACTGAAACCCAAGAATGAAAGTTTGTAAGTCTACAACCGTACCTCATGGTGTTTCACTACTGAAAAAATAAAAATAAAAATAAAATAAAATAATAATAATAATGGGCTGGAGCGATAGCACAGCGGTAGGGCGTTTGCCTTGCACGCAGCCAACATGGCCAACCCGAGTTCGATTCCTCCGCCCCTCTCGGAGAGCCCGGCAAGCTACCGAGAGTATCTCGCCCACACGGCAGAGCCTGGCAAGCCACCCGTGATGTATTCGATATGCCAAACACAGTAACAAAAAAAATCTCCAATGGAGACGTTACTGGGCCCGCTCGAGCAAATCGATCAACAACAGGAGGGCCTTTACTTTTACTTTTTAATAATAATAATAATGTATTATCGTCTTTCTAAACATTTTTCTAGACATCCTTTATTTCATTTTAAAAGTTTAGTAGTTTTGATTCAACATTCTAATAGTTACTTGGTACTCGATGTTACCCAGGATCAATAAAAGTTAATGGCCATAATTATTTGAAAATTATTAGGAGTGGCTGTTGATACTAGAAACCTCCAAAATATTATTTTAAGTGGTTTTATGAGATTTTGTGACATGTAATATTACTTACTCGAGCGGGCCCAGTAACGTCTCCATTGGAGACTTTGTTGTTACTGTGTCTGGCATATCGGATACTCTCGGTAGCTTGCCGGGCTCTCCAAGAGGGGCGGAGGAATCGAACTCGGGTCGACCATGTTGGCCGCTTGTAAGGCGAACGCCCTACCCGCTGTCAGAGCGTCCTCGTTCTGCACCAGCCGTTCATTATTATACCTGTCCTGCTACTTCTTTAATATTCTCTAGAGAGATATTTTCATTACCATTTCTGAGCAGTAGTTTTAAATACATTTCACTAAGTGCTCGAACTCACTTTACTATTTTATAATTTTTATTAGTGGACATCAAAAGAAAACATTCTACTTTTCACTACAGAAATCTTAATACTTTGTGATATATTTATCTAATATCAATTGAAGTACTGATACATTATTTCTAAAGAATTTTTCTCATGGAAAAATTTCTCATGGGCTGGAGCGATAGCACAGCGGGTAGGGCGTTCGCCTTACAAGCGGCCAACATGGCCGACCCGAGTTCGATTCCTCTGCCCCTCTCGGAGAGCCCGGCAAGCTACCGAGAGTACTCGATATGCCAGACACAGTAACACCAAAGTCTCCAATGGAGACGTTACTGGGCCCGCTCGAGCAAATCGACGATCAACGGGAGGGCCTTTACCTTTACCTTTTCTCATGGAACATTGTATGTCTGAAACTCAATCATGAACAACTTGGTAATTGAATATCTCACGTTGATTTGATTAAAAAAATTTTTAAAGAATTTTTCTTCTCAGCTGAAACTGGTTTTGCTTGGGAACCTAATTTCAGTCATCACATTTACCTTTGTTGTTCTGAGGATTTTTATGAATTGGGTATGTTGCCAAATAGGCAACATAGAGATAGGCATTTCTCCTTTATGAAAAGGTGCTTCTCCTGCCTCATGAGCTGGGGCGGGGGGGAGACAGCGCTAATAGAGAAGGAATCACTAAGTCAGTGATGGTTGGAGGGGGATCGTTCGGGATGGGAAATGTGTGCTGAAAGTAGATAAAGGACCAAACGTGATGGCCTTCAGTATCTATATTGAAAACCATAATGCCCAAAAGTACAGAGAGAATATGGGGGAAATTGTCTGCCACAGAGGCAGCAAAAGGGTCGGGATGTGGGGGTCAGATACTGGGGACATTGGTGATGGAAGATGCACACTGGTGGGGGGATGGGTGTTCGATAATTGTGTGACTGAAACTCAAACATGAAAGCTTTGTAACTATATCTCATGGTGATTCACTGAAAAGCAAAAGTTTAAAAAGGAGGGCCTCCTTGTCCCTCAGAAACAGAAAGAATATGAAGAGCCAGCGTGTACTTGGAGGGCATGAGGGCTCCTAAAGCCAGGAAGAAATCGGGAATAGAAAAGTGTTGTCTTTAGTTCCATAATCTAATCACTTTTCCTAACTAGCCCAAGTCAACCACTTTTTTAAAAATCGGTTTTTATTTTTTTTATCCACTTATTTGGTTTTTCGATCCCTCCAGTAGGTGCTCAGGGCTTACTCCTGGCTCTGTGATCAGAAATCACTCCTGGAACTCAGCAGACCATATGTGGTGCTGGGGATTGAACCTGTGTCAGCCACATCCAAGACAAATGCCTTAACCTCTGTGCTCTATCACCATTTCCTAATTTCTGTCAAAATTACATAGTCTCCCAGGCCCTGTCAGGAGTGTCCCTGAGAGCAGATCCAGGAGTCACCCCTGAGCATTACCTGGGTGGTCAAAATAGTCCCCCCAAACAAAATGAACAAGTCTAAAAGTTTTTTAAAAAAGCAAACAGAGGGTTGGAGCGATAGCACAGTGGGTAGGGCATTTGCCTTGCACAAGGCCAACCCAGGTTCGATTCCCAGCATCCCATATGGTCCCCTGAGCACCACCAGGAGTAATTCCTGAATGCAGAGCCAGGAGTAACCCCTGTGCGTTGCCAGGTGTGACTCCCCCCCACAAAAAAAGGAAAAAAAGCAAACAGAGTGCTTGTTTGGTATTTTGTAGACTTGAGAAATTATTAAGAACACTGCATTTTGCTTTTATTTGCATTTTAGCATGGACCTCATGTGCTGGATGGATATTGAGCAGTTCCGAAGAATACCATACATAGATTACGAACAGAGGGAGGCAAAATCTATATCCATTAAAAACAAATACCTGAATAAAAAATATTTCTTTGGACCCAATAGTCCAGCTTCTCTGTATCATCAGAACCAGGTACTAAATATTTGGACCTTTCCTTTACTGAAATATAAAAAACTGATGATTTCTTTCTTTCCACCTGCATGTTCTCTTTTATTCTTTTGCTTTTGATGTATGATGTTAGAGATGGTGAATATCGCCCATGTGTAATGCATTTGTGAAAAATGTCTCCTTATAAGGGGCTTGGGATATGGTTCAAAGGCTAGACCCCAGTCTTCTTACAGGGGAACTCGGTGCAATCCTCCGGGTTTGTGGTGTGTGTCTCCCCCAAGCACCTCGCCAGGATTAGCTCCGAATTCTGCAGGGTGTGGCTCAATAAACCTCAGGACTTTTAAAAGCAACTTATAGAATAAAAATGACTTTTTTATTGTTTGGAGCACCAAACACCTCTGTGCTCAGAGCTTATCTGCTCAGGTATCCCTGCTGGTGGGTTCAGTGTGTGGGGGGGGTTGGAGGGGACATATAGGGTGCTGGAGAATTGAAACTAGGGTCGGCCACAAGCATCCTACCCACTGTTCTATCTCTCTGGCCTCTCGAAATGATCGTAATTCACCCACTGAGCCATCTTGTATAAATATGAGTTGCGGGTAGGGCGTTCGCCTTACAAGCGGCCAACATGGCCGACCCGAGTTCGATTCCTCCGCCCCTCTCGGAGAGCCCGGCAAGCTACCGAGAGTATTCGATATGCCAGACACAGTAACAACAAAGTCTCCAATGGAGACGTTACTGGGCCCGCTCGAGCAAATCGACGATCAACGGGAGGGCCTCGAGCAAACAACATGAGTACTGTGAGATGCCAGATCCGGCCCAGGCATTTGGGATAGGCAGTGTGAAGTTGGATTATACTCCAAACATAACTGATCTTTGAAAAATCCTATTTATCAGAATATTCCAGTCTTCCATGATATTGTTCCCAGAAACTATTTCCACTGACTCGATGGGTAGGGAGTACCCTTACCTGTTGGTACTCAGGGATGCTGCATCCGAGGCAGGGTCCTTACCTCTCTGCTCTCTCCAGCCCAGCTTTAACATTCTGTTGGACCAAAGTAAAGTGGTCTTCACCACCAATCAATTAATGACTGGTTATTATTAACCGTTTGATTATATTTCAAGTGGCATATTTCCAGTGGCTTATATTTTCGGTGGTAACATTTACAGAAAAAAATGTCAGAATGGGATCCAGCAATAGGACTGAGTATTCCTGTAACACACTGAGCATATCAAAGATGCTAAATTTTATCATTTTGAAATATCAAGATTCAGAATGATCATGTCTTCAATGTGTGTTGTGATGACATCACTACCCAGAGATCAAGTCTATGGCATTGATTTTTTTCAACTTTGATAGTTTAAAATAATGCCTACTCCTAAGTGCCTAAACTTATAAAAATGTAAAAATCAGAGAATATACCAAATTAAGAAACTAGGTCTTGGGGTGAGAGAGAAGGAGGGGTAGCAGGGAATGAATGAAAAATTTTGGAAGTGAGGAGGAGAGATCTGAATTAAGGACCCTTGACCAAATTTGCTGTTTATCTGTGAAATAGAAATCTGGGGTGGAATAGCAAAATGACTGGATATCCCAATAAGAAAACTAGAAAATAAGCACATGTAAAACATTGGTTTTCTATTTGGCTGGTGCCACATCGCGTGGTTTTGTGGTTTCGGATGCTCCTGTGTGAGCCCTTCAAGTATGAGATGTGGAGAATTTAGAGTTCAGCGGAAAAGTCAACCCACTTCGCTCATTGAAAATGGTTGTACTTCCTGCAGAGTTGACCTGGTGACCCACTTCTCATCATCTCATCACATTTTTCACCTTTATTTTCTCTACTTTGTACACAAGGAGATCTGTGTCACGTGATGCTGCCTATAGATCCCAGCAGCTGATTGCACTATTGGCTCTCCTCCTCTTCCTACTGCTTCTCTTCCTCCTCCATCTCTCCTCCTCCACCTCTTCCTCATCCTCATCCTACTTCTCCTCCACCTTCTCCTCCTCCTCCTTTTTCTCCTCCGCCTCCTCCTCCCCTCCTCATCCTCCTATTTCTCTACCTCCTCCTCCCCATCTTCCCCTACCTCCTACTCCTCATCTCTTCTACCTCCTCCTCTTCCCCATCTTCCTCTACCTTCTTTTCATCTTCCTCCTCCTCTTCCTCCACCTCATCTTCCTCCACCTCCTCCTCTCCTTCCTCCACCTCTTCCTCCACCTTCACCTCCTCCTCCTTCTCCTTATCTTCCTCCACCTCCTCCTTCTCCTCTTCCCTCCACCTCCTCCTCCTCCTCTTCTCCCACCATCTCCTCCTCCTTCTTCTCATCTTCCTCCTCCTCTTCTTCCACCTCCTCCTCATCATCTTCCTCCACCTCCTCCTTCTCCTCTTCCCTCCACCTCCTCCTCTTCTTCCTCCACCACCTCTCCCTCCTCCTTCTCATCTTCCTCTACCACCTCCTCCTCCTCATCTCCCTCCTCTTCCTCTTCCTCCTCCTTCTTCCTCTTCATTTACTTATTATTAAAGTGTGTTGCAATGCAGCCCCAGGCTTGCCTGTGGTGTGGCTTTTCTACTTCTGCCACCTTGACTCTTACAAACTGTTGCAGCAGACGGACCTTGCTCCTGACAGACCTCCAGATCTCCATGTTCCATCTATATTACAGTATCTGAGTCAAAGCTCTCTCTTGACTCAGGAATGCCCTATTTTCCTCATGCATAGAAGAAAATGCTCTCAACTAGAATCTGATTCATAGACTATTAGACTTACAGGCAGACCCCAGTTCAATCCTCGGCATTCATATGGTTCCCAAGGCCACCAAAAGTAATCCCTAAGCACAGAGCCCTGAGCACTACTGGTGTGACCCCTACAATCAATCACAATCACAAATCATCCTGTTATTCGTCGATTGCCTCGAGCAGGCCCCAGTAATGTCTCCTTCATCCTATCCCTGAGATTATATTCAAGGGTCTTTAGGAAAATGAGACCCATCATTTTTACTGGTATTTGGCATATTGGATACGCCACGGGGAGTTTGCCAGACTCTGCCGTGTGGGCAGGCTACATTCGGTAACCTGCCAGTTTGACCCCCAAACAAAACAAAAAACCCAAAAGTATTTTAGACCTACAGGAGAACTTAAAAAATGGATAGATCAATTCCCTTATTTTTAAAGTTGAATGTACTGGAGCCATAAAGAAAGAGGCAACTGCATCGCTTCCTGTCATAGAGTTCAGACCCCTCCATTCCTGTGTTCTTTGCAAACTTAGATGACTGTCACTTAACCCAGGGTCTCCAATCACCACTCAAGGGGCCATGTGGTTCGCTGGCATAGGAAAGTTCAACCTACCAGTCCTGAGATAGCCCTTCAGTCGTGTGGACTGGTGTGCAGGGTGATGCTAGTCCACTGGTGTAGAAAAGTCACAAAGCACACTGGTGGCTCTGCTAATTCTCTGATCTCTCCTGGGAGGGTTTCTCCTTCCCTCACACTATGGAGCCAGGGTATTTTACAGAAAGTGAGAGGAGCATCCCCTGTCAGGTGCTCTGCCAGTGGTTTGGAGGTGAATGAGTTAAACTACTGGATGTGAGCAGTTTCTTTTTCCTCTTCTCTTTGCCTAGATAATGCAGCTAAGTGATGACTGGGGCAGGATTCTGCACGAGCATTTGGACGTGTCTGTTCTCCTAGAGATCCAGAAGCACGTCCTCAAGAAGCTGGAAAATGTGTGGTTGCCCTTGTTCCTCACGAGCCCTTTGTTTATGGCTCGACAAAAGATAAAGGTATGTGGACTTGGGATAAGCTTCATAATCCATGTCCAACATCAAGGATCTCTCCACCCAGACATGGTAGCTGCAAAGCATTGTGGGTAAGAGCAAAGCTGGGGACCAGGGGAGCTCAGCAGAAGAGCATAGGCCCAGCCTGCACGAGGTTGTGAGTTCAAGCCCTGGAAACTCTTGTTCCCTCCACTCCAGGACATTGCTAACAACACAATAGTAGCTGGAGACTTCAACATCGCCTTATCACCTCTGGATAGATCAATAAGAACAAAACTCAACAAGGAAACATTGGCTTTGAAAGAAGAAATAGAAGAGCAGGGATTTATAGACCTATACAGAGCTTAACACCCCAAAAAGAAAGAATACACATTCTTCTCCAGTGCGCATGGAACATTTTCCAAAATAGACCATGTGCTAGGCCACAAAACATACCCCAATAGAATCAGGAAGATAGAAATAGTATCAACAATCTTTTCAGACCACGATGCACTGAGGATAGAAGTGAAGCACACACAGACACGGAGAACCAAATCAAACACCTGGAAATTAAGCAACTCAATGCTGAACAACGAGTGGGTCAGGAAGGAAGTCAAGGACAAAATCAAAACATACCTGGAAACAAATGAGAATGAAGACACGAGCTACAAGAACTTATGGGATGCAGCGAAAGCCATATTAAGGGGGAAATTTATAACTCTGCAAGCATTTCTCAGGAAGGAAGAAAGGGCCCACATAAACAATTTGACTCCACAGCTCAAGATCTTAGAAAAGGATCAACAAAAGGAACCCAAATCAAGCAGAAAGAAAGAGATCAGAAAGCTTAGAGCAGAAATCAACGACATGGAAACCAAAAAAAAAAAAAATCTGAAAGATCAATAAAACCAAGAGCTGGTTCTTCAAGAAAATAAACAAGATAGATAACAAGATAGATAAACCACTAGCAACACTCATAAAGAAACAGGGAGAGCGAAAACCCTAATAAACTGAATCAGAAATGAGAAGGGGGATATCACAACAGAAACCAAAGAAATCCAAAAGATCATCAGAGACTACTTTGAAAGTCTGTATGCCACGAAACAAGAGAACCTATAAGAAATGAACAAATTCCTGGACTCCTATAATCTCCCAAAGCTGAATCAAGAAGATCTGGAGTATCTGAATAGAACTATTAACATCAACAAAATCGAAACTGTAATCAAAAGTCTTCCCAAAAACAAAAGCCCAGGTCTAGATGGATTCACTAGCGAATTTTTCCAAACATTTAAAGAGGACATACTGCCAGTCGTTCTCAAGCTTTTCCAGGAAATTGAAAAATCAGAAACTCTCCCAAACAGTTTCTATGAAGCCCATATCTCTCTGATACCAAAAGGAAACAAAGACACCACAAGAAAAGAAAACTACAGGCCTATATCCCTGATGAACACGGATGCGAAGATTCTCAACAAAATACTAGTAAATAGAATTCAACTACTCATCAAAAAGATCATACACCATGACCAAGTGGGATTCATCCCAGGGATGCAAGGATGGTTTAACACTTGGAAATTAATCAACGTAATCCATCATATCAACAAAAGAAACGATAAAAACCATATGATCATATCAATAGATGCAGAGAAAGCATTAGACAAGATCCAGCACCCGTTTATGATCAAAACCCTCGCCAAAATGGGTATAGAGGGAACTTTCCTCAATATAGTTAAAGCCATCTACCACAAGCCTACAGCAAGCATCATCCTCAATGGGGAAAAACTGAGAGCGTTCCCCCTAAGATCAGGGACGAGACAAGGATGTCCACTCTCTCCACTGCTGTTCAATATAGTACTGGAAGTACTTGCAATAGTGGTTAGGCAAGAAAAAGATAGTAAGGGCATCCAGGTAGGAAAGGAAGAAATCAAGCTCTCACTATTCGCAGATGATATGATACTATACTTAGAGAACCCTAAAACCTCTGCCAAGAAACTCCTAGAAACAATAGGCTTGTATAGTAAAGTGGGAGGCTATAAAATCAATACCTAAAAGTCCGTGGCTTTCCTATACGCAAATAGTGAGAGAGAGGAAGACTGGCACCACATAGACTGGCCCACATCCAAAAGACCAATAGCAACCAGTGTTGGCGCGGTTGTGGCGAGAAAGGGAATCTCCTTCACTGCTGGTGGGAATGCCGGCTGGTTCAGCCCTTTTGGAAAACAGTATGGACAATCCTCAAAGAGAGAGAGAGAGAGAGAGAGAGAGAGAGAGAGAGAGAGAGAAGAAAATGACATGAAGAAAACAATCCCGTTTACAACTGTGCCCCAGAAAATCAAGTACCTAGGAATCAGCTTAACTAAGGAAGTTAAGAACCTGTACAAAGAAAACTACAAAATGCTGCTTCAGGAAAAAAAAAAAAGAGGACACCAGGAAATGGAAAGATATCCCCTGTTCATGGATCGGGAGAATTAACATTGTCAAAATGGCAATACTTCTCAAAGCACTGTACAAATTTAATGCGATCCCTATTGCGATACCCATGACATTCTTCAAAGAAATGAAGCAAACACTCCTGAAATTTATATGAAACAATAAGCCCCCACGAATAGCTAAAGCAATTCTGGGGAAAAGGAAAATGAGAGTAACCAACCTCCCTAACTTCGAACTCTACTACAAAGCAGTAATAATTAAAAAAGCATGGTACTGGAACAAAGGCAGAGCTGCAGACCAATGGAACAGGGTTGAATATACTGACATCTCCCACCAAGCATATGATCATCTAATCTTCGATAAGGGGGCAAGAAATGTGAAGTGGAGCAAGGAAAGCCTCTTTAACAAATTGTGCTGGCAAAACTGGACAGCTACATGCAAAAAAGTGGGCTCAGATCTGTCCCTAACACCAAGTACAAAGTAAGATCAAAATGGATTAAAGACCTCAACATCAGACTGTAATCCATAAGGTACATTGAAGACAAAGTTGGCAAAACCCTCCATGACATTGAAGCTAATGGTACCTTCAAAGATGTCACGCCACTGGCCAAGCAGGTGAAAACAGAGATGGACAAATGGGACTATCTTAAACTAAGAAGCTTCTGCACCTCAAAAGAAACAGTGACCAAAATACAAAGACAGTCTACAGAATGGGAAAGGATATTCTCCAAATACACATCTGACAAGGGGTTGATATAAAGGATATACAAAATACTGGTTGAACTCCACAAGAAGAAAACAACCAACCCCATCAAAAAATGGGGCGACGAAATGAACAGAAACTTTCTCAAAGAAGAAATACGAATGGCTAAAAGGCACACGAGAAAATGTTCTACATCATTAATTATCAGGGAGATGCAGAGCAAAACAACAATGAGATATCATTTCGCACCACATAGACTGGCCCACATCCAAAAGACCAATAGCAACCAGTGTTGGTGCGGTTGTGGCGAGAAAGGGAATCTCCTTCACTGCTGGTGGGAATGCCAACTGGTTCAGCCCTTTTGGAAAACAGTATGGACAATCCTCAAAAAATTAGAAATTGAGCTCCCATTTGATCCAGCAATACCACTCCTAGGAATATATCCCAGAGAGGCAAAAAAGCATAGTCTAAGTGACATCTGCACTTGTTTGTTCATTGCAGCACTCTTTACAATAGCCAGAATCTGGAAAAAACCTGAGTGCCCGAGAACAGATGACTGGTTAAAGAAATTTTGGTACATCTACACAATGGAGTACTATGCAGCTGTTAGAAAAGATGAAGTCATGAAATTTATATACAAGTGGTACTACATGGAAAGTGTCATGCTAAGCGAAATGAGTCAGAAAGAAAGGGACAGACATAGAAAGATTGCATTCATCTAGGGAACATAAAGTAACAAAATAGGAGACTAACACCCAAGAATAGCTGAGATAAGTACCAGGAAGATTACTCCATGGCTTTGAGGACAGCTGCACACGCTAGGGGAAAAGGCAGCTTAGATAGAGAAGGGAGCACCAAATAAAGGGTGTTTGCAGGATCCTCTCAGGATGGGAAATGCGTGATGAGAGTAGACTATAGACCAAACAAGATTACCACTCAATGTCTCTTTTGCAAACCACAGCACTCAAAAGGAGAGAGATAACAAAAGGGAATGCCCTGACACAGAGGTAGGGTGGGATGGGGAGATGGGGGGTGGGAGGTATACTGGGACTGGTGGCGGTGGAGAATGGGCACTGGTGGAGGGATGGGTATTCAATCATTGTATAACTGAAACCCAAGTACAAAAATTTGTAAGTCTACAACTGTACCTCATGGTGTTTCACTAATAAAAATTTATGAAAAAGAAGAGCAGAAACAGCGCACTATATATACCCAGTTTAGCAAACACATGAGCCTCAGTGATGGGGTAGTATCCCCCAGCTGTGAGCACCTTCAGTTAAAGGACATGGAACGGAGCATTGTAATCCCAAGAACGAGCCTCTTTTCATCACAAAAGTTCTTGGAAATAAGCTTCAGTACAACTCAAATGTCCTCATTCCCGGGCTTCACACCAGCTCATGTTCTCTCTTCCAAATGAAGTAAAAAAAGTTCTTGGCTTCCTATTATGATCAGCCTCCATGTTTTCTCACACTGTCTGCCTTAGTCATTGTATTGTCAGTTCCTGCCTTGCTTTCCTTTGGTGACCAATAATAATACAACCTGGTTCTGAAAGCGTTCAGCCCAAACCCAGAGATAAAAAAGAACTGTGGGCAGGACCTTTTCCTCACATGTGGTAGGCCCTGGTTAGAGCTCCAGAACCCCATATGGTCTTACGAGTCCTGTCAGGAGGGATCCCTGAGCACAAAGCAGGAGTAATCTCCAAGCACAGCCTGGTGTGGTCCCAAACAAACATGCAAACAGCAACAACAAATTCCACAGAAAGGAGAGAGACTTTATTGTAAAACAAAAAAACAATGGGCATCTGAACAGGAGGGGAAGAGTTGACACCCAACATTAAAAAAAGAAACGACCTTGGGCACCCAGCAAGTCTCCTGGGCCCCTTTCTACAAGGCTACAGCTGCTCGGGAAGATGTGAGCTGGGATCTGAGCCCATGGCTCCAGATCAGCTTCTAGGGAAGGGGAGATGGAGCCCTGTGGCACAGCACGAATTGGGCAGGTCTGCCTCCCAAGAAAGGCACTGCTGTGGCTCCACTGAACTTCAAGGATTCAGTGGAGTTTGTACTCTGGTTAAGTTTGCCATGGCTAGAAAAATGCGTAGGAGTCTGGGAAGTCTCGGTGGTGCCTCCAGCCTGGGTTTTCTCAAGCCCCACTGTCAGGAAGCTGGCCCTGCAGCTGACCCCTACTCTCCCTGGCTGTCTGAGGGCTATCACACTGCTCGCCCACAGAGTCCACCCCCCCTCCCACCCGCCGCCCAGCAAAGCTTCTCGGTCTGAGGCTGGCTCTCCTCCCTGCCCCAGCACTCCTTATCAGCTACCTCCACCTCCACCTCACTTTCCAAAATTAATCCGACAATATGTGACTCCCAGCATCCCATATGGTCCCCTGAGTACCACCAGGAGTAATTCCTGTGTGCAGAGCCAGGAATCAACCCTGTGCATAGCTGGGTGTGACCCCACCCAAAAAAGACTCATGGGTTGGGGTGATAGTGCAGTGGGTAAGGCATTTGCAGGTGGCTGGCCTGGGAGTGGAACTCATCAGGGTGTCCCCTTCTTGCTTGGTAGACACAGATGGAAGACATCGCCGAAGAGCTCCTGCTCCAGAAGCACGAGAGGAAGATCGGTGTCTGGAAGGCAAGTGGCCCTGGGCTGTATTCTCGGAAGCTCTTCCCAGTCCCCAACTCTTCCTGCCTCCCTGGCAGACGAAGCCTCCCAGTTCCTGAAGACCAGGGGTTGGGGTTCAGCAGGGAGAGTGAGTCCATCCAAGCCCTCTTCCTTGACCTGTTCAGCCTGAGCCTGTGTGCATGGACTTTAAAACTGTATTTCCCTTTCGTTGCTTATGATAGGTTTACAGAGATAAACTGGTCGTATGATTCAAACTGTCATTTGTTTTTACCCTAGTTCTAAGTTTGAAAGATACCTAATATTCTTTTAAAATTCCCCGTCCTTCATAACTAACTTTAATTTTGTTTGTTTGGGTGCCACTCCTGGTTGTGCTCAGGGCTTACTCCTGGAGGTGCTCAGGGGACCATATGGGGTACTGGGGATCACTCCCAGGCCAGCCACATGCAAGGCAAATGCCTTACCCACTGCACTATCACCCCAACCCATCAGTCTTTTTAGGGGGGAGGAGTCACACCCAGTGCTGCACAGGGGTTACTCCTGGCTTTGCGCTTGGGAATTACTCCTCGTGGTACTCAGGGGACAATATGGGATGCTGGGAATCAAACCCAGGTCAGCTGCGTGCAAGGCAAATGCCCTACCCACTGCACTATCGCTCCAGCCCCCCATTAGCCTTGTCTTATGTTCTAAAGCACATCATCAATCTGTTTTCCTCTTTAAAAAGTGATGCCACAAAGCCGAAGCTATGAAAGAGACAAAGGGTAGATGGGGGGTGGGGGGAGCAGTTGTCAGCTCTTTTGCGTCTTGCCATAAATGTCAACCAAGTGTGACAAAAGTGACTGGAAAGAAGTGGCCGGGTTTTAGACTAATGATTGAATGCGTTACTCTTTAGATCATAGCTCATCTTCTGCATTTTCTATTTGGACAGCCCGTGGAGAGCAAATGGATATCTTCATCTGGTGAAATCATTGCTTTCCGTAAAGCATTACTGAATCCAGTCACAGCCAAACAATTTCAACGATTTGTGGCTCTCAAAGGAGATTTGTTGGAAAATGGGGTACTCTTTTGGCAAGAAGTGCAAAAATATAAGGTACTGTATTGGGAGCTAAAGGGAAAAAATCTTTTGAGGAGAAAAGGGCATTAGTATTAATTGATTCATTTTAAATAATTTACAAGTTAATGAATCATATTAATTTATTGAATAAATTTTGTTAATGTTATCTATGCATATTTAATTAATATTAATTAATTGTTAACTAATCAACTTCTTAGCTATGTCTTTGTGGACAAGATTTGTATAATATTCCAATTTTGTTCTTGAGCCCCCAAGTTTCCTTTCTTTAAATCTGGCTTTCTCTGATGAAATGTTCACTTTCTGCCAGATACTTGAAGCCTTTTGTATAAAAACTCATTTCTCTCACGAGCATTCTGTGAGGTGAGGCTGTTGCTCTCACCACTTTATGGATTAAGGAACTCAGGCACAGGGACGTGAAGATCCTTCTAGCATCAGACAGTTCGTGGAGCAGTGGTGGGCACAGCTGGCATCAGAACCAAGCTAAAGATCACGCCCACAGGTTCTAAGCCACCTCCTTCCAGAAGGATGGAGGCAGCGTGCCAAGAGGAGGCCCCAGGTGACCTCATCAAACATTGAGCCCTGGACTGTGAGACTCTGGGCTGAACCCGAACGTTCAACAGCAGGACTCTAGTGGCTTCCTTAGGATCCAGCCAGATCTCAGAGGAGGCTGCCCTGCCAAGTCGAGAAGGGACCTAGAGACAGTTGGTGTTGGGCTGTCACAGTGTCTCCAACTCATGTTTACTGATGACTGGAAAGCAGTATTACTTCATCTCCTGTGTGTGTGTGCACGTGTGTGTGTATGTATGTGTGTGTGCGTGTTTGTGCTTAAAGGACTAGAAGCATGCATGTATATTCTGTTATTGAGCTCCTGCAAAAGTCCAGGTTAAATTGTGACATTTCTCTCCCTTCTCACACTGTAAGACAGACAGCGTCCCTTCTATGGGAGGGAGACACAAGTCATTGGCTAGTGGGAGCAGAGGGATGGTAGATGGGGTGTTGGGGGGAGCCTGTGGGGCTATCTTTGATGGAGGGGACACAGGGACGCCTGCTTTACCGGAAACCTTGGCCATGGCATAGGAGGGCAAAGCAGGTAGAGATCCGCTCTGTCCAGAATTACCCTGGTGCCCTCAGAATCCTGTTGATAGATCTCTCCCCATTTGTCTTCATTCCTCAAGTCTCATATTCCATAATTATAACCAGACTCACGAGAGAATTCTATATGATAATCTCACTAGCAGTGGGGGGAAAGCACTTTTTTGGAACATGCCAAACATATGTGTTGTAAACAGGCTTTTCCTGAGGGATGCTCGGTGGAATGAAAGGTGCTAACTGTTGTCACAATGTAACATGCACATCAGGCTCTTCCCGCACCCTGCCTGTGCCAGATCACATGTCAACCTTCCCAGGACAAATCCCCAGACTTTTCTTTCTTTGAGCTTTTCTTTCCTTAATAGTCCATAAGACAGCAAGACTTAATCAAAGCGGCTGCTTTTCTGGCCTAGAATTCAAAGTTCTCAGTCTGTGATGACTTAAGTATCTTAGCATAGCAATGCCATCATTTCAGCTAAGCTTTGGTCTTCATTTTATTTTGTCTTGTCTTACATATATTCTCATTTGATTTGTTGTCTTTTATTGGACCTCCAAGCAGTGCTCAAGCCCAGTGATTCTCGGGACCTCCAGGGCCACGCCTGGGCAGTGCTGGGGTCACGGTGCTACACCTGGCTGTTGGGTTTGGAAATCCAGGGCTTCATAAACCAGGCCTATCATCCCAGCCCTTTGAGCCATCTCCTTGGCATGCCTCTTTAATATTCAGAGAGGACTCTATACAGATGATATGACACTTGCCTTGCATATGGTGGAACCTAGTTCAATCCCCGGCACCACCCAGGGTTTCCCCAGGTCCCATCAGGAGTGAGCCCTGAGTTCAGAGCCCTGAAGTAGGCCCTGAGCACCATAGGGTATGGGCCCCAAATTTAAAAGTAAAGTATCAAAGCCCTCCTGTGCATAGGGACACTGAACCTTTTTGATATTTGAAGGCGACGCTCAGTTCTTTAGTTAAAGGGCATAGTGTCGCGGTGACCAGAGAAACACAAGAGCTAAGAGGCTCCACGGAGGCCACCGTCGGGGTCACAGCACCCCCTTTTTCTGTTGCTGCCTAGAGCCTGATCTACCCAGGGGACAAGCTGTTCCAGCTGGGAAGTTTCTATTCCCATCCACATGCCTCATTGGATGCGGGCCACTGCGCTCCCCGAGGGCCGTGTCTGTCTCTGAACCACTGATGAGTGCACCCAGGCTACAGAACGTTGACCCCAGGCCTCTGGCTCAGTAGAAACGCGGCATTCAGGGCTGACTCTGGTGGCCCAGGCCCTGCTCAGTTCAGAGATGGGAAATGAGGAGCTGTAGTCGCGGAAGCAATTATTCCTCCCTGAGGAAATGCTGCAGTCAGGCCAAAGTGAAACCTGTACTGGTGGAAGGTGGAGCTAGCACCAGCTCAAGCTCTTCAAACCCAAGATCTTTTTGTTTTGTTTTGGGGCCACCCCTGGCTCTTGTTCTGAAGAGTAGTCCCAGACAGAGATGGGGGAGGGACCATGTGTGTTGCTGGGAATCTGAACAGGTGTCAACCTCTTGCAAGGCAAGTGCCTTTTCTGCTTACCATCTCCTGAGTCCCATAGCCAAGACCTTTTAAGATAGTCTTCACATGTCCATCCCCCTGTCATCTGAAATCAAATGTATGCATGACTAGCAGCCACTGCCATGAACTGCTTCTGGTTCCATATAAGCTCACTAACCAGCCATGATCCAGAGACTCACTAAATAAATCTCAGGAGAGATCAGCAAGCTGGGTCCTAGATCATTGTATAACTGAACCCCAAGCACAAAAATTTGTAAGTCTACAACTGTACCTCGTGGTGTTTCACTAATAAAATTTTTTTAAAAAAGATATTAGCAAGCTGCACAGATGCTCCCAGATCCCATAGTCACCATCCAGTTAAAAATTTGACTCCAGCTATGTCACCCATTCAAAAGTTTAGAATTCCTGGAGAATTCGGGCACAACATCTCATACTCTACACCACTGATACACTAGCTCTACACCACTGATATACCAGGAGTAGTTCACCACTTTGGATGGAATGTGAAGTAGAAGGCAACTAATCTTGACTAAGAAAATATTAGCACACAAGGCTCAACCTGTAACAGCATGTTAGTAATCTCTTATACAGCGACTTAATGACTCCAGGGTGAGATATAATAATATTCACAGACTTTCTTCTAAAGGAAATCTTTTTTGATCATTTTTTATTGAATACAGCATAAATTATTTAGGGCCTACTATGGGGTAGGCTTGGGTGGTGGTTGGGAAAATAAGAAATAGTGGTGGTGGAAGATGTAATGGTGATGGGATTGGTATTGGAATATTGAATGTAATAGATCATTGTGAACAGCTTTATAAAAATTAAATTAAAAAACAAATGTATGCACAAACTGATATGCATATGCCCACAACTCTGCATCTCTGGTTCTCTCTTCTCTCCTTGCCCAGGACTTGTGCCATTCTCATTGCGACGAGAACACCGTCCAAAAGAAGACAACGATGATTATCAACTGCTTTATTAACTCCAGCATCCCGCCAGCTCTGCAGATTGACATCCCCCAAGAGCAAGCCCAGAAGATCATTGAGCATAGGAAGGAGCTAGGACCATATATATTCCGGGAGTCTCAGGTGAGACAGAGGACACAGCTCTGCCTTCAAGTCGCTGACAACTTGGATGCTCCTTGAGAGATTTGGGGGTGTTCATAATTGACAAAGTTCCAATTTTCTTAATCCTGGTGTCTGTTCTCTTCCATGAAAGAGCCGTACACAGCACTCCTGCCCACCCCCAAACTCTCTCTCTCTCTCTCTCTCTCTCTCTCTCTGAGTCAGTACTTTGCAATTTTGCTGCCAGTACTCTACAGGAAATACAAAGGCTATACTTTGACTTCCCATTTTGGAAATCATTTTTAGTTTACAATCCTTCAGCTCATCTGTCCTCCCTTTCCTACTATTTGTATTTCCTTTTAAAAGCATCTGCGCCACAGCCTATAAAACTGTATGTGCCCTGAGGTTTGAGCCTTTGTCAGGGCTGGAACATTTATTCAGCTCTTACAGTGAGTGGAGCTGAGGCCACTCAAAGTGCCACTCAGAGGGAAAAGTTCTTCTGTGAGCCTGCTTCAGGTAACCTCTTTTTCTTTTGATAAAGAGAAACCACAGTTTGGTGAGCAGAATTTATCTGCCTTTTGCAAAAGTTGTTCTCAAAAAAATGATTAAGAAAAATAAATTTCCGTGGGATTGTGGCATAACTGCAGTGATAGGAAGCAGAGATGTGGGGTAGGGGTGCCCTGGGGCATGGAAAAGGCCATTATTCCTTAACATGATTTGGAGCCAGCTGTATTCTCAGGCCCCCCAAGGAGCTTAAAGAGGCCTCCCAGTCCAAGTGATACATTAAAAGAGGGCAAATTACAGAGGGATGATTAAGGATGTGCGAGAGAGAAGTGGAAGAAGTCGGGGAACAGAACCAAGTGTCTGTCCCTGCCCTCAGCCCCGCTGTGGTCTCCTCACAACTAGCCAGAGCTGGCCGCACCGAGATAGGGTCTGATGGTGAGCATCAGGGCCTTCTTCTGGGTCGGGCTGGCCTCCCTGTGCAGGGCTGGCTGGCCTCTCAGAGTCTCCTAACTCAGGCCTTAAACGGGGCCACTGCAGCAGCTGAAGGTAACGGGCTGTCACTCAGGGCACCTCACCCCACTAATTGAGTCTTCGTCCCTGGCTTCCTCAGCACCTCAGAACCATCTTACTGAGGGGAAGGTGCTGCAGGGGACCCTGCTTAGGACCCCAGCACCTGCAGGTGTGGCCCCCAAACCGAGCCAAATCCAAGTAATTAGGGGCAGGGGAGACAGTCGGAACCGAAAGGTCTCACTTTCCTGCAGGTGGCCAATTTGGCGGGTGCTGACTGGTTCCCCAAGCACTGCTGGGGGCAACCCCTGAACACTGCGGGGTGCCCCCCACCCCATCCCCCAAGGAAGAACAAAGCAAAACATTCCCGGCAGCAGATCCCTCTGTCCTGGTCGCCTGTGGTCCCACCGACTTTCTCCAGCTCCACCCCTCTTTATCACATACTCCCTGCCTCAGAGGTGCCCCAGACCATCCCTGCTGCAGGTGCTCTGCCACTACGTGGGTGGTCTGCCCCCACCAGCCCTCCACAGTCCCCCACAGCTAAGTCCTCTCTAGCCACAGTTCTCACTGCCTCCTTGCTCTGGGCTTCCAGAAGCCCAGAGTCATGTCAGAAGCGGCCCTCGGCTCCCTGCTGTCTTTCCTGGGCCCCTATCAGAGCCTCTGATCTCCCTGTTCTGGACCCAGCCGTGAGCCCTCAACGGGAGGGGAGAAGGCGATGATAGGGAGGGCACATTTCTTGTTTACTTGCTTGGCCTGATTTCTGCCACCAGGCAGGTAGCCACTGAATTCCTGAACCCAGGAGTGAATGATGGTAACCGAAAGGAAAATAAGATCCGACTCTAGATGAGAACCAAGTGGAGGGAAACGGCCAGGTCTTAAGCAAAGTACAGCCACCCTGCCCTTTGGGGGTAGTCGCCAATGCACCCATGCCCCCTACCCAAGAGCTTGAAAGTTGCATCAGCCCTTTACACACAGGCTGCAATCACTGGCCCGCTGCTGGGAGGGAGCGAGGCAGCAGCGCGTATGCATGGGGTTCCTGCCCTCTCTACAACCTGGTTGTTACCTCTGAGAGTTCTGCAAGAGCTGGGGAGTCAGAACAACTAGTGCGACGTGGCTCATCTACAGCCTTCCCTGTAGCTTCTCAGAAGAGCATCGTTTTGTGTCTTCTGGTGAAAACTTGAGTTCTCGCTTGGGTATCTTTTAGGGAAGACCTTCTTGATGGTGTTGGAAAGGGGGCAGTGACCTACAAGTGGAGAGATAACTGAGGCTGAAGGTTGTCATTAACCCGTAGATGAGGAGGGTTAAACTGGTATGTTGGGATCAGAACTACCTCAGTCCTTGAATGTTGTAGTAGGGAATTAGCTGATAAAATGGGTGGCAGGTAAATGCAAATAAAAATTTGTTCTGTTTTTTGTGCCACACCCACTGGTAGTAGCTCAGGGACTACTCCTAGGCTCAGTGCTCACGGGATCATTCCAGTGGTGGTACCAGTGACTGAACTTAGGACTCCCACATGCTTTGCATATGATCCAGCCCTTTAAATTATCTCCATGGCCCCTGAAAACAGGTTTTAGTCTGCATTTCCCCCAAATATCTTTAGATCTTCATGCACAATCCCAAGAGAATTCAGAATTTTCTGTAGAATACAGACACAAAATTGCTGGAGCGATAGCACAGCGGTAGGGCGTTTGCCTTGCACGCAGCCAACATGGCCGACCCGAGTTCGATTCCTCTGCCCCTCTCGGAGAGCCCGGCAAGCTACCGAGAGTATCTTGCCCGCACGGCAGAGCCTGGCAAGCTCCCCGTGACGTATTCAATATGCCAAACACAGTAACAACAAAGTCTCCAATGGAGACGTTACTGGGCCCGCTTGAGCAAATATAGTTGGTGCATTCCCTCTGGAATCACCCATATTCCACCATGGGGGTATAATTCCTATCTTTTACTTTTTGGAGTTCCCTCTTCTCTCTCGCTCTTCTCTCATTCTCATACCCTAAATAAAAAACTATTTTAATTTCCAAAAATTGAGGCAAGGAATTAAGAGAATTACTAGTGGTACTCACAAGCAGCAAAGGGAAGTAGTGAAATAATAAACCAATGCAATGCTCTTTGAACACTTCAGAGTTCACTTTTTAAAAATAATAAATTCCTCTTTCCCCATGAAGAGCTGGCTTGGAGCCTAATGGGATGGTTCATTTTCCTCCAGGGCATTAGGTAGAGGTCATTCATAGCAACAAGATGTTGGGCTTGATCTGATGTGGCAAATCCTACCTCTTGGAAGTCAGGTTTGCCTCTGGAACTAATGGGAAAACTTGGCATGGGGATATGAGCAACACCCCTTATCTCTATAAATATCACAATTAATCACTTAATGTGGAGTGTCCTCATAGAAAGCATTTGTCTAGGATTCCACTCTGCTTTTTAAATGTTCTTTCCTTGCTCTCACATAAAAGAGAGATTATATCATTTAAAAGTTACTCGAGATTTATTCTTAGATCTACAGCTTTGTTTAAGAGCTTTTCCAGAGGCAAAATGGTATTTCCTTTCGCTAAAAGAAAGAAAAGGAGGGAGGCAAGAGGAGTCCCCCCACGCTTGATGAACTGAATATTAGGAATACTGGCATAGAACGGAAGAGTGGGGGAGTGGACCAACCCGTGTATGTTTTAAAGAAAACATCAATTTCTTATTTAAAAAGACCTAATGGATTCTTTATTAATACAATCAATTGGTTAGGGAAACATAAAGAATAAAGTGACTTTTAAGTGTATTAAGTGTTTTTTTTTTAAAGAAAGACTTCTCATTGGTAGTAAAAACCACTGATGATAAGCATGTGCTGAGCTAAACTCCCGAAAAGTCTGGAGACAATAACTAGGCAGGAACATGCTGGATGTTGAAGATAGAATCGTGAATCCATTATTACGGTGAATTAGGTTAAATTGGTACATTTGTATAAAATTGTAATCTGAGACATACCTATTTTTTTATATATACAGATGACAATTTTTGGGGTCCTGTTCAAGTTTTGGCCTCAGTTTTGTGAATTTAGGAAGAATTTAACGGATGAAAATATTCTGAGTGTCTTAGAGAAAAGGCAGACACTTAAGCAGAAAAAGAAATCAGTACTAGAAGATGAAAAGTTTTCAAAGGTAAGTTGAGACTCCTGTGGAGTTGACTCTTGATTTTTAAAAGCTGTGCCATATATGAGAATTTATAGAAGAATTTGGTATGGAGAAAACACCCTTAGAGAGTATAGACCGTAGTGGCCTTCAGACCTTCCCTTGAAGGTCTCAAACTTGATTTTCAATACCTCTGAAATGGTGTCTTTTCTATATGGAGTGTTATTTGACCTGATAAAAATCTACCAACCCCAAGTTTTCACACCCCAACTGTTGGCCTTCCTCCACGAGAGTCCACTGGGTGTTCTCTCCACTTAGGTTCTTCCTTCTCTCCTCCTCTGCTACCCTCAGCTCTGGGGTCTGAGTTCCTAGGTCCACTTCTGTTTGTTTCTGTCCTTTTGCACTTGCTTCATTCTAAGCTACCCTGGCGGCAGGGAGTCATCTCCTATTTGCCTTTCTCCTAACTGACTTTGCCTCACACGACCCAGTCCAGTTCTATCCACATGCAGCAGCTAAAGGCTTATGGATATATGTCCATACATGGATCCCCAAACACCACAGAAGCTGTCATGGTGTTCCACCCCTATATTTCTTCAATGTACTTTATGAATTCATGTCTAACTCTTCAGTCTTCAATATGTTTTGTGCTTGGTGTGAGATAGTGGTCCACCTTCACTCTTTTACACGTGGCCATTCAGTTTTTCCTCTCCCTATTTATTGAAGAGACTTTTCTTTCTTCATTTCATGTTTCTCTATTTTTCTGTTCTTTGGACTGAGAAGGGGCAACTGCTCTCAGGTAATGTGTTTGACCTTATTTATCTACCTATCCTAGTTGGGAAAAGAGGTAGAAAAAAATAATGAAAAAATGCTGAAGTAACAATATAAGGAAGGTTCATATTTGCACAGGTCAGAATAAATACTGGTAACTTTTTCCCCCCTCATTTGCTGAAGAAATAAAATACTGCAGGAAAAAAGGCATGTTAATCTTGGTCCTGAGTTCTGTTGCCTACCCTGTCCCTGAGGCAACCGCTAAGTTTGAGAAACAGTCTTCTAGATCTGTTTATTTATTTAATTTAATTGTTTTTTTGCTTTTGGTTTTTGGGCCACACCTGGCAGTGCTCAGGGCTTTCTCCTGGTTCTGTGCTAAGAGATCATTCCAGTTGGTGCTTATAAGACCATATGGGTGGTGTCTGGATTTGAACTGGGGTCACCCTGTATACCAGGCGAGCACTTTGGTCTGTTTCTCTGATTTTTAGAAAAACAGGGCCCTTCACAGTGGTGTGTGGAGTCAACAGCCCCACAGTTCTTGGGGGTGCCAGGGATTGAACTCGAGACCTTGAATGTGTATTCTTGCCCTCTGAACTATTTCCTTGGCCCCAAACCTTCTCTCTCTTTCTCTCTCCCTTGGACCCATTTCACGTTTCGTCTTTTCTGATGGCTCCACAGTATTCCATGGTGCCCAGCTCTTTGTGAAGAGGGTGGTTTTGTTTGTTTGTTTTTGTTGTTGTTGTTCAGCACCAGCAACTTTATTGAAAAGGGGCAGTGGGCCCCTCCCCTGCCCCTGCTCTGCGGTGCTCAGTGGCTCTCGGGTCGACAGTCCGAACTCCCCGCAGAGCAAGAGAGTGCTTTTTAACTTGCATATTCCCATCAATAATACAGAGGATGACCCCTTCCTGTTTTTAACTAACCATATTGTGTTAGTTCGCCTCAGCTACCATAACAGAGTTCTGTAGACAACACAAATTCATTTTCTTATGTCCTGGAGGCTGGAAATACCAGATCCAGGTGTGAGCTAATTGAATTCTTGGTCAGACCCTCTTCCTGCCTGGCCTGTAGACAATCTTCATTTCATGGTGTCCTCAAAATGCCCCTGATTAGATCTACTGTATGTACATATTTCTATGGCATTATAGCACAGAGGTAGGGCATTTGCCTTGCACGCAGCCAACATGGCCGACCCGAGTTCGATTCCTTCGCCCCTCTCAGAGAGCTCGGCAAGCTACCGAGAGTATCTCGCCTGCACGGCAGAGCCTGGCAAGCTCCCCGTGACGTATTCGATATGCCAGACACAGTAACAACAAAGTCTCCAATGGAGACGTTACTGGGCCCGCTCGAGCAAATCGATGATCAACGGGAGGGCCTTTACTTTACTTACTTTACTTTTATATTATATTATAATCTGAAATATAGACTACGGGTTTTATTTAATCAGAATGACCTCTTAAAGCCCTTGACTCTTCGGATAAAGTCATCCCAGAAGTTAACAGTTTCCAGATAAAAATCTGGATGGGGGGACACAGTTCCATCCCCCGCCTATATGGTGCAATGTAGTTGTCATATCTCAATTTATAAACTCAACTTTTATGTTTTAAAAACTAAAGCAAATTAATTATATATTTTATTACACCCACATCTTGTGTAGCTATGAATAAACTTAAATCTAGTTGATTCAGCGTAATGGCATATAATAATCCATCCTCTGAATAAATATACGTTTCTACTGAACTGCTTCTCTATGGTGCATTTTCCACTTTTCACAGTTGCCAACAATACGGCGATCAATCCAGGTAGGTGTATTTCTATTTCCATGTACAAATGTTTCAGTCTTGCTGAGTACTAGCATCTCTGCATTTCCAGAGGGCAGAACTACAACTGGGCATTGGCATTGGATTGAGGTGTATGTGTGTGTGGTCCTGTGCTGTTCTGTCACCTCTTAGATTCAAATAACCATTGGAGCAACCAAGAAAGCACGAAGACCCCTGGTGATGCTGCTGCTTTTGACCTCTCCTCCTCATCCCTCCTTTTTATTCCTCTCTTCTAGCAACCAGCAGTTTTATCCTAGTTGCTTCTATCCTGTCATTCTGAGGATGCAATCGGAATGGAATTCTCCCCTGTGATACTTAGAGAATTTTCTTTTCACTCAACGAAAACGCCCTTGAGATCTCTCCGAGTGATGTTTTCCGCAGTTTGCTCCTTTTGTCGTTAAGTGCTGTGCCCTAGTACCTCTGTATCACAGTTGAACCGTCTACTCAGCAGAGGCTACTTGGGTCTTATTTAAGCTTATTACAAAGAAATACTAATAGTTGCTGTCGTGGGCATTTGTTTCCCATTTTCCCATGTACAAACAGTGTTGCAGTCACATGCCTGTAGATGTCTCTATAGTCACATGTGTAAAATTGTTCTTGGAACTGCTGAGTACCAGAGTAGATGTGTTTTGAGTCCAGTAACTGCTTTCTTCCCTTCGCTGTTAGTACTCTTGTTTCATAACAGCTTTATTGAAATTTAAGTCACATTCCATAGAATTCACACTTTTTAAAAGTGTGTAATATTTTGGCTTCAGTATATTCAGAATTGTGCAACCATCACTAAAACTTAATTTTAGAACATTTTTATCGCCCCTTCCAAAAAAGAAACACTGTGCCCGTTAGCAGCTACGCCTCCCCTTCCCCAGCTGATGGCAAACCCCAGTCCACCTCTGCTATTTCCCATAAAGGGACATTTCAGATAAATGAAATCATACAAGATAGAGTCTGCTGTGACTTTCTCTTGTCCTATTTTCAAGGTTTAGCATGCGTTAGCATGTATCTGTATTCTTTTTATGGTTAAATAATATGTCACTGCATGTCTATCCTAGGTTTTATTGACCCATTCATTTATTTGGTGTACATTTGGGTTACTTAAGCTTTTCTGACAATTATGAACAATGCTGTCATGAAAGTTCTTGTGCAACCTTGCATATGGGCAAATCTTCTCACTTTTTTTTTTGAGGGCCCTGGAAGTTGACATGCCAGCACATGTGATAGCTGTAGGAGGGTCCACTAAACTCTTTTCAAACTGCTGAACTCCCTTCTGATCCTTTGAGGTCAGCATGTCTGTCTGTCATCCTTTTCTTTTCTACTTCCATCTTGGCATTCAAATTAGTCTCCTATAGACAGCTTACACTTGGGGCCTGGTTTTTAATTTTTTTAAAGTTTTAATAGTGAAACACCATGAGGTACAGTTATAGACTTACAAATTTTTGTGCTTGGGTTTCAGTTGTACAATGATTGAGTACCCATCCCTCCACCATTGCCCATTCTCCAACACCACTGATCCCAGTATCCCTCCCACCCCCCATTCCCCCCATCCCACCCTGCCTCTATGACACTGTTTACAATAGCTAGAATCTGGAAAAAACCTGAGTGCCTGAGAACAGATGACTAGTTAAAGAAACTTTGGTACATCTACACAACGGAGTACTATGTAGCTGTTAGAAAAGATGATGTCATGAAATTTACATACAAGTGGTACTACACGGAAAGGATCATGCTAAGCGAAATGAATCAGAAAGAGAGGGACAGACATAGAAAGATTGCATTCATCTGGGCAACATAAAGTAACGAAATAGGAGACTAACACCCAAGAATAGCCGAGATAAATACCAGGAGGTTTACTCCATGGCTTGGAGGCCAGCCGCACACGCTAGGGGAAAAGGCAGCTCAGATAGAGAAGGGAGCACCAAGTAAAGTGTGTTGGAGGATCCTCCCAGGATGGAAGATGCATGCTGAAAGTAGGCTATAGACCAAACATGATTGCCATTCAATGCCTCTTAATTTTGTTTTTTAATCCACTCTTTCCATATGTATTTAAACAGAGGTATTTAATCTATCTTTTAAAAATGTTAGAGCCAGCATATAATAACATCATTATTTCCAGGGTATAAAATAATGATTCCATATTTGTAAAACTCAGAAGTGATCATCGGAATATTACCTAATGTTCATCACGATGTGCTGGAGCGATAGCATCAGCGGGTCGGGCATTTGCCTTGCACGAAGCCAATCTGAGTTGGATTCCTCCGTCCCTCTCTGAGAGCCCGGCAAGCTGCCCAGAATATCCTGCCTTCACGGCAGGGCCTGGCAAGCTCCCCGTGGCATATTTGATGTGCCAAAAATAGTAATAGCAACTCTCACAATGGAGACATTACTGGTGCCCGCTCGAGCAAATCAATGAACAACAGGAGGAGAGAGAGAGAGAGAGAGAGAGAGAGAGAGAGAGAGAGAGAGAGTTCATCACAAACACAGTTACACAGCTTGTCCTTGTTATGAAAACTTTTAAGATCTCCCTTGCAGAGGCCAGGTGGGATGGGGGGATGGGGGGTGGGAGGGATACTGGGATTAGTGGTGGTGGAGAATGGGCACTGGTGGAGGGATGGGTACTTGATCATTGTATAACTGAAACCTAAGTACAAAAATTTGTAAGTCTACAACTGTACCTCATGGTGTTTCACTAATAAAAATTAAAAAAAAAGATCTCCCTTAGCTGTCAGTTTTGCGGTATAGTAATGTGAATGGTTGTCACCGAAGTCTACATTCCTCTTTGGTGACTAATCGTAGCTGGACATCTGTACCCTTTAAACCCCTTCACTTTTTTCTGTCCAGCTCACTTTTCTGTTCAGCCTCTTGTGACCCCCAGTCTCTTCTCAGTAGCAGGAGCTTGATTGTCTTTTTAATATTCCACAGTGAGTGACATCATACCGTGTTTCTCTCAGTGACCTCCTGGTCCAGCCATGTTTGGTCAAAAACAATCCCTTGTTTCATTAGGGTGGGTAGCAACTAGCAATACACAGGAGCCGTCCCCAGCCTGGTGCTCTGGGATCATTCCCGAGGGTGTTCAGAGGACCAGATGTGGGAAGCCCAGGCCCACATGAGGTTCTCTGTCTAGTTTAGATCTTAACCCCTTGCCAGATGTAGAAACACATACATTATCTCCTTGTGGCCGCCTCCCTCTTACGTTGCTGATGTTTTCTTTGTGGTACAGTCACTACTTTTCAGTTGTTTTATTTTTGACTTTGCTGCCACTGCTTTTGGTGTCCAATTCAGATTTCATCACCAGACCCACATTAAAACACCGCCTATGTCTTAGGAGTTTTATGATTTAAAACGTGGTTCCAATTGTGTTCATTTTCATGGTCTTGGTGTACAAAGTTTAAACACCTTCACCTTCGCCAAAGTGCCCCGGTGCACTGCCCCCCCCCAGCCCCTCTCTGTTTTTTAATTTTTAATAGTGAGACATCATGAGGTACAGCTGCAGACTTACACATTTTTGTGCTTGAGCCCCCCACTGTTGCCCCATTACCCTTAGTCTGGCCCTGGCCCTCCTCCCCACTCTCTTACTGCTTCCTGCTTCATAACTAACCTCTGTTATGAAGTCAAAGACCGAAGGTTTATCCTCATTCAATGCTGTGTTGTCCCTTGTATTATTTCTCTGTAGATCAAAAAGGAGGCGGGGGGGGGGGGGGGGGAGGGAGAGGGGAAGGGGAAGGAGGAGGGAGAGGGAGAGAGAGAGAGAAAGTATCTTCTATAAAGGCAGACTGGGGGTGGGGGGTGGAAAGAGGAAACTGGGGACATTGGTGCTGGGAAATGAGCACTGGTGAAGGGATGGGTGTTGGAACATTATATAACTGAAACCCAATCATGAATAACTTTGTAACTGTTTTCATCACTGTGATTTTTTTAAAAAAATTAATTTTGTAATAAGAGGAAGGAGGTTATCTGGTGTTTTACTTTCTTCCTCTGACCTGTTTTGCTTAACACAGAGCCCTCAGATTCACGCATATTGCAGCAAACCGCATGACTTCCTTTTTTCTTGCAGCTGCATAGTATTCCATTGTGTATTTTGCCCACAGCTGCTTTATCCTCCCAGCTGTTCCTTGGGCATTTGGGTTCTTTCTATATCCTGGCTGCTATACTAAGCTCTGCATTGAATATTGGTGTGAATATGTCCTTTCAAATAACTGTATGTGTTTCTTGGGATAGATGCTGAGAAGTCAGAAATCTGGGTCATATGGCAACTCTCTTCTTTGTTTTGTTAAAAAATGCCATATCGTTTTCCACCATAGCTGAACCAGATAACACTGTTTCCAGCTCTGAATAAGAGGTTGATTCCTCTCTTTGTGCTAGGGGCCGTTCTCACTGGCATGAGGTGGAATCTCACTGTCGTTTTGATTTGCTTTTCCATGATAACAAGCTGAATGCTTTTTCATACGCCTACCGGCCAACCAGGTGGTCTCAGCAGAAAAGTATCATTTATTTTTTTATTTTTATTTTTAAAATTTTTATTAGTGAGACATCATGAGGTACAGTTGTAGACTTACAAAGTTTTGTGCTTGGGTTTCAATTATACAATGATCAAATACCCATCCCTCCACCAGTGCCCATTTCCTACCACTACGGATCCCAGTATCCCTCCCACCGCTCATCCCCTCCATCTCACCCTGCCTCTGTGGCAGGGCATTCCCTTTTGTTCTCTTTCTCTCTTATTGGGTGTTGTGGTTTGCAAAAGAGGCAATGGGTGGCAATCATGTTTGGTCTATAGTCTACTTTCTGCATGCTTCTCCCATCCTGGGAGGATCCTCCCAACACCCTTTATTTGGAGCTTCCTTCTCTATCTGAGCTCCCTTTTCCCCTAGCATGTGTGGCTGGCCTCCAAGCCATGGAGTAAAATTCCTGGTGCTAATCTCAGCCATTCTTGAGTGTTAGTCTCCTATTTTGTTACTTTATGTTCCCCAGATGAATGCAATCTTTCTATCTTTTATTTTTTAATGTTTATATTGTTTATATTGGTATAAAAGCAATTGTAAGAGCAGCACCTGGTATCCTATTGCTGGTGCTGATCAGATGATGATCAATGAATGTTAGACAGAGCAGCATCTTGAACTCCTGAGAAACCTCAATGAGCTTGGTGATCATCGATGTAAAGAGAGGGGTGCGGCAGGGTGATACCATTTCACCAAAACTCTTCAGTGCCAACCTCGAGAACGTCATGTGACGAATGAAATGGGAAGGAATGGGAGTGAAGATAGATGGTCGGCAACTACACCACCTCCGCTTTGCTGATGACATTGTTCTAATAACACCAAACATTAGCTAAGCAGCACAAATGCTGGCCAACTTCGACTGTGAGTGTGGAAAGGTCAGACTACAGCTGAATCTCACGAAGACAATGTTTATGAGAAACAGCCTCATTCCTGACACTCCATTCTCTCTCAACAGAACAACTCTCTCCGAATGCAAGTTATGTGTACCTAGGTCGAGAAGTCAACATGACAAATGACATGGCACCTGAGTTGCGCAGGAAGAGGAGAGTGGCTTGGAACGCATTCAAGAGCGTCAAAGAAATAGCCAAGAGGACGAAGAACCTCCGGCTTCGGGCACATCTCTTTGATTCCACTGTTCTTCCTGCATTAACATACACCTCAGAGACCTGGGCCCTACGAAAACAGGATGAGAATGCTATTCCGGTCTCCCAAAGAGGAATCGAAAGAGCTATGTTTGGATTATCACGTTTCATTCAAATGAGAAAAAAATCTGGAGTTCCGACCTCTGTTGATGGTCAATGGTCAAGAATCAGGAACGCTGCCTCATTTGCCAAGGCGTCAAAAATCAGATGGGTTGGACACGTAATGAGATTTGGAGATGACCACTGGACTAGAGCCGTTACTGACTGGATTCCACGGGACGTCAAAAGATCACGTGGCCTCCCACCTACCAGATGGTCAGACTTCTTCGTCCAGACCCTGAATGATCGGTTTGAGGCTCTTAATTTTCATAGAATGAACAGACGCCATTTGGGCTACACTAGCATGCGACAGGGACAAATGGAGACGTTACTGGCGCCCACTCGAGCAAATACATGATTAACGGGAAGACAAGTGATCAAGTGATCAAGTGATCAGATGACTCCTCATGTGAGGACCTCACCAAAACATTCTTGCATGTCCCTGCCCCCACTGGGGTGGCCCAGGGTCAAGCAATAGCACTGGGTCCAAGTAGTACCGTATCACTGAGTAGTGCTAAGAATTACCCCTGGGCACCCTGGGATACTTGGAAGCTCCCTCCCCTCCCCCAAACCCATTTGTTTTTTTAACCAAATGCTATTTTTCTTTATTTTGGAGGTAGGTAATGAGGTAACATTGGCTTCCAAGGCTGTACATGTTGGTATGTTTTAGGTGTAAAATGTCACCATGCCCCCCGCCCAACCCTGTCACTCTCCTTTCCACCTCTATCCTGGAGACCCTCCCCTCAGTAACCTCACTTCTGTGGTCAATCTTGGGGTTGGTTTTCACTCGACATTGTCCATGACCTGGCTTTGTATCTTTTGGTCCCACATATGAGTGAGAACCAGCATTTGTCTTTCTGCTCTGACTGATTTTACTTGGCCTGGTCTCCTCGTCATTGTAGCAAAAACCAAGATTTCCCTTTCCCTCCACTGTGGTCTGGCTATTCCCTGGTGGCCACAGGCCACAGCTCCCTTGTCCAGTCCTGCGTCCCAGGCCCCTGGCCAGGTTCCACCTCCAGACTCTGTGAACAGTGCCGCGGGGAAGGCTGTTCCCTCAGAGCTTCTGTCGCCTTTGTCTCTTACTACTCAGCAGTGCAGCTCTGGCTCCTAGCTTAGTAGAAAGCTCCTCACTATAAAATAACATCCTTAAGGTGCAATCACTTGATCCCTTTACAGGAAAGTGCCAGACAGCATATCAGCGTTTCAGGGATTGCACTCAAAGCAGCTCCAATGACCAGCGACACAGCATTGGGCCTGTCAGCCTACGGGAGACAGGTGAGTAGGACAGACGCCCACATGCACCTTGCCTGCCTGGTGCTGCACAGGGGAACATGGTGACGGGGTCAGGAGACAGGTGCACGGGCAAGCTGGCGTGAACAGGTAAACAGTTTAGCATTGTGGGGAGATAGCACAGTGGGGAGGGCACTTGCTTGCCAGTGCACACAGCTGACCCGGGTTCAATCCTCTGCACTATATAGGCACCTCATATGGTCCCCTGAGCTGACCAGGAGTGATCCCTGAGCACACAGCCAGTAGTAACCTACCTGAACACTGCCAGGTGTAGCCCAGAAACCAAACAAAGAGAAAAAAAATCTAACAGTTTAGCACTTGGGGTGCCCGGAAGAAAGAACTAACTTAGAAGTTTTTTCCTGGACGATGTAGTCCAGGGAAATAATTTCCTGAGCTCCCTGGAGGAGAAATACATGGCTGAGGTTAGAATAATTTTGTGGAACAAGCCAGGACCAGGCGGAGAGAGCACGAGAGACACATCACAAGTGCTCGAGTCTCTGGCTGAGCGAGAAAAGAATAATGTCCAAGGCCTCAGACTCAAATTTTCATTTCTTTGAAGACATGGTTAATCATAAGATTAACCATCTTGTGCTCATCAATTTAAACATTGACAGTTTTTATGCTTATATATCCGTTAATGGCACTTCCTGAAATCTCAAAAATTTCATTTATGTGCATTTTAATGACATATATAAAGTGTTTGTCTCTGGGTTGGGGTAGAGGATGGGTCATACCAGGCAGTGCTCAGCGCTTACTCCTGGATCTGTGCTCAGGGATCACTCCTGGTGGGCCTCAGGGAATCCTATGCTGTGACGGGGATTGAACCTGGGTCTAGTTCATGCAAAGCAAACACCTTACCCTCTACACCATGCCTTCAGCCCCAGAAGTATTTACCTCTTTAATAATTAAGGTGAGAAATAGACTGTTTAGGCAGTGTTAAGGAATGCTGAATCTGCTCAGCTACCCTTCCAATTTTAACTGATAGACACTGAAGCTATTATTGAAAGAAGGAAAATGTCCAAGTTTGTGGAGTAATCAGGAACTAATTACAATGGGGAAATGTAGACGTAGGGATACCAGGTTTCCATCTCATTTTAATTTTATTTAACTTTTAGGTTTGGGGGCCATATCCAGCAGTGCTCAGGGCTTCCTCCTGGGTCCCTGTTTAGGGATAATTCCTGGCATGGCTCAGGGACCATATGGGGTGTTGGGTTTCGAATCAGGATCAGCTGGATGCAAAGCAAGTACCTTACTCCCTGTTCAATCTCTCTGGCCCCTTCCATGTCATTTTTTACTATAAGTATTTCATGGAGCCTGAAAAAAAAATCACTTAGTCTTTTCTGAGCCTGTCTCTCTTCAGTTAAAAATATGAAGTTAGAGGAATAGTACAGAGGTTAGGGTGCTTGCCTTGCATGTAGTAGGCCTGGGTTTGATCCCCAGCATCCCATGTGGTCCCCTGAGCACTGCCAGAAATAATTCCTGAGTACAGAGCCAGGAGTAACTCCCCAACCCCCAAAAAGTGGGGGGAGGAAGGAGAAGAGGAAGAGGAGGAAGAAAATGTGCTGCCATTGTAGCCTTATATTTCCAGGATTTTGTAAGAAACTTTGGGAAACCAAAGGCATTTTATAAGCATATATTGTTCGGCAGTGTGTATACACTGTACTCCCATTGTTCATCAATTTGCTCGAGCGGGCACAAGTAATGTCTCACAACAAATTGTGAGACTTGTTGTTACTGTATTTGGCATATTGAATATGTCATGGGTAGTTTGCCAGGCTTTGCCCTGCGGGCAAGATACTCTCAGTAGCTTGCCGGAGTCTCCAAGAGGGGCGGAGGAATAGAACCCGGGTCGGCCAAGTGCAAGGCAAATGCCTTACCCACTGTGCTATCACTCCCGCCCAAGCATATATTATTTTAAAATTTATAATATGTATGTTTTGATATATATGTAATATTTTGTGCCTTTATGTTGTTTGTGAAATAATATTATTTTAATTTTATAAATATATACTGATATTACATCATACAAGTATAATTGTTACTTTTTTAGATTTAGTCAGGAAGTCAGTGAACGTTTTGCACTAGGAATTCATGGAGAAACAGCACACCATTACCCTCATCTCATCCTCAGCCTCCTATCTGGGGCCAGAGGATATAAAAATGCAGGTCAAGGTTATAGAAAAATGTACCTTTCCTCATCACAACTAGCCATACTAAACTGAAGTAAAGTAGATTGATAGCAATTCCTGGTAGTACCCAGTTACACGGGTAAAAGTTCTTTTTATGAGCAGAGAGACAGTAGCGCAGGGTAGGGCACTTACCTTGGATGTGCCAGACCCAAGTTCAATCCCAGCCATCATATCCCTGGAACCCCACTGGGTGTGATCCTTGAGCACAGAGCCAGAAGTAAGCTCTGAGCACCTCTGGGTGTGACCCCACCTCCCCCACAACAAACAAAAAGTTCTGTTTATAGAAAGTCATGTAAATGTAAATTTGTGTGTACCTATTTGTGTTGGGCCCGCTCGAGCAAATCGATGATCAACGGGAGGGCCTTTACCTTTACCTTTACCTATTTGTGTGATACTTCAGAAGGTCTAATGGTTAGAAGGGCTGATATAAGCTGCCTTACCTTCTGTTTATTTCCTGGGGCAAACATTTTCGAAATTAACCTTGAATATTGTTTTTCCAGCCAACCTGGTGCTACTCAAAGTACATAGAAGCTTTAGAACAGGAAAAGCTGCTGCTTAAGATCCAAGAGGACCTGGAGAAAAAGATGTATCCAGGTAATGCGTGCGTGTGGTGTGATTCCCACTGTACAGCCACATGTGCGTCTTAAGGGCGAGGGGCTGTGCTCACTGTTTTTCTTACTTCCCTATTTCTGTGACGCCTCCTCATTTTCTACAAATTTTCAGTCTGGGGGCTGGAGAGATAGGACTGTGGGTAGCGTGCTTGCTTTGCATGCAGTCAACTGGAGTTCCATCCCCAGCATCATATGTGGTCACCTAAGCACCACCAGGAGTAATTCCTGAACATTCCCTAAAAACAAACCACATCCAATGCTGTCGTTTTCTCTGGAAAAGAATGTCTTCCCGCAACACCCAGAGTGAGTTGCTAGTGCTAGTCTGTCTCTGCTTCTTTCTTCCTTTTCTTTTCATGGTTTTGTTTTGGTCACACCCAGCGATGCTCAGAGGTTACTCCTGGCTCTGCACCCAGAAATTACTCCTGGTGGTGCTCAGGAACCATATGGGAGGCTGGGGATCGAACCTGTGTTGGCCACATGCAAGGCAAATGCCCTGCCCACTGTTCTATGGCTCCAGCCCCTTATTTTTAAACTTATAATAATTGATATGGGGAAGGGTTTGGGGCCACAAGCCCTTGGTGCTCAGGAGTGACCTCCGGTTTTGCTCAGGGGACTGTATGTGGTACGAGGGATGGAGCCAGGTCTGTTGTGTGAAGGACTTGCTCCTACTAAGTGTCCTGACCCCCAGCATGTATGTGTGTGTGTGTGTGTGAGTGTGTATGTGAGTGTGTGTATGAGAGTGAGTGAGAGAGAGGATATGGAGAGAAGAGAGAGAAAGAGAGAAAAAAGAGAAAGAGAGGATATAGAGAAAGAGAGGAGACAGAGAGAGAAAAGAGAAAGAGAGAAGAGAGGGGAGAGAGGAGACAAGAAGATACAGAGGAGAGAGAGGAGGCAGAGAGAGAAGATAGGAAAGAGAAGAGAGTGAGGAGAGAGAGGAGAGGAGACAGAAGAGAGAGAGGAGAGAGGAGAGAAAGAGAGGAGACAGAGAGAGGAGATAGGAGTGAGAGAAGGAGAGAGGAGAAAAAGAGAGAGGAGACAGAGGAGAGAGGGGCGAAAGAGAGAGAGGAGACAGAGAAAGGAGACAGAGAGAGAGAGGAAGGAGGGAGGGAGCATTGTGCAAGTACACCCAACATCAGGAGAATTTTCTGTCTCTGTGTGTCCTTTTCTCTGTGTGTCCTATGTCTGTACTGTGTCACATGTCTGTGTCCTGTGTCATGTGTGTATCCTCTGTGTGCTGTGTTCATGTTGTGAGTCTTCTGTGTGCTGTGTCTGTGTGTGCTCTCTGTGTTCAGTGTCTGTCTCATGTGTATCTGCGCACATCTTCCGTGTGCTGTGTCTGTGCGTGTTTCCTCCGTGTGCTCTGTCTATGCGCATGTTCTGTGAGCTGCATCCTGCAAAGGAGGAAGGCGCCCGTACCTTCCCACGCTGACCCTTTGTCCTCTTTCCAGAGTGACCAGCTGGGAGCACATCCAGCTGCTGAGAGCTGTACGGTAAGTCAGACCCCAACACACCCTTGAACACACCCTCAGACATGCAGGGATGTCCATGCATGTGCACCAGACACACTCGCACATGCATGCACACATGTGTCCAGCCAGAGCCCCTGCTGCTCTCCTGGACTTAGTCAGCACCTCAGTGGTCTTCTGAGGAAACCGCAGTTTCCAGAGCCTTTTGCCAGCTGCCTTTTCCCCACACTTGAACAAAACAGCTGACAGGCTGAGCCCAGGCTCTCCCGGTTCTGAGGAGAGTCCCCCTCTCCCAGTTGACATCTTGCAGCAACACTCTTGGCTTCTCCAAACCCTTCGTGTTCTGTTCTTGGGGAACCCCCTAGCTGCCTGTATGTTCTCATCCGGTCACCAGCTCTCGTGTGGTCAGCTGGACCTAGAGCCCCCTTCTGCTGTGCTCCCAGCCCTAGTGAGTGTTCCTGGGCCCGCCAGCATTTGGGCCATTGGCACACCCGTTCATTGTTTTGATACCTCTCACGACTTTTTGTACGTTCTGGTATGTGAAGGGCTATACTTCCTTCTGCTGTCCATGTTCCCCAACACTTTGTTTACTTTTACAGGCTTTCTGGGGCCCTGGATGCGTAAGGGATGTTCTGATAGTCGGCTTCAGAGCAAGACTGTCACCCAAAGAGAGTTTGGCCCATTCTGCTCCCTCGGCCCTGCTCTGGACACACAACAGTCAAACCTGGGAAGACTTCTTGGAATAGGACCATTGGACTTCAGGGGGGCCACAGACAATTTTTTAACAAATGTGTAGTATTTACTGTACTTAGCTCACAAATATATTTAGTGGGTGGTCAGAGAACTAATATTTGTGCCAAAAGACCCCAAACATAAAGAAAAGAGGCCTCCCCAGGCTCTTGCTGTTCTCAAGAGAAAATCACGAATCAACACAGTGGTTTGCAAATCCAGGTGTGGACAGGGCTACACTGGATGCTGGCAGGGTCCTGCAGGCAGGACTCAAGCATGTCCCTCTCTCATGGTCTCTTTCTCTGCACTCTCGGAGCGAAACTATGAGGGGATCCAGAAATTGTATGGGTGCACCGGTCACCTACAAGTAAGGGTCCCCTTTTTCCAATAACCACTCCTCCCTGCCACTTCAAGAATATTCAGGTACCTTTCTACCGAGTCTTTCTGTCCTTTATCACTTTGCCCACTTCACTTATCTGTGAGCTACAGTCACTAAATTCGTCATTGCTTTTATTATTTTGAGCAAGTTGTTATCAATGAGGAATAAGAAAAAAATTAAAATTTATTTCTTTACTCTCAATGCATTCCTCCTAAAAGACTCTCATCCTCTTTCTCTGGTCTCTAACCTGCATCATTTCACTTTTGCCTGAAATGTTCCATCAACATTTCTCATAAGAAATGCACAAACAGATGCCCTCCAACTTTGTTGGCCTTTAAAAGTCTTGGTTTCTATGGGCTGGAGTGATAGCGCAGAGGGCACAGTGCTTGCCTTGAAAGTGGCGGACCCAGGTTCAATCCTCGGCATCCCCCGAGCACCACCAGGAGTGATTCCTGAGTGCAAAGCCAGGAGTAACCCTTGAGCACTGCTGAATGTGGCCCTCAAACAGAAGTCTTGGTTTTTGTTTTGTGCATGGCTTCCTGGCTTCTTTCGACGTTGTCTCTCTGTCTTCAATTTTCCATGATCTAAATATTATATATCTCGGTGTAGTTCTTTTTTCAAGATTATACCCTATATGTTAAGGCTGGAGCGATAACACAGCGGGTAGGGCGTTTGCCTTGTACGCGGCTGACCCAGGTTCAATTTCTCTGTCCTCTTGGAGAGCCCTGCAAGCTACTGAGAGAATCCTACCTGCACAGCAGAGCCTGGCAAGCTCCCCGTGGCATATTCGATATGCCAAAACAGTAACAACAAGTCTCACAATGGAGACCTTACTGGTGCCCACTCGAGCAAATCTATGAACAATGGGAGGGTAGTGCTACGGTGTTATACCCTACCTGTGTTCTTTGAGCTTCCTGGGACCTTGTTTTTCTGCATCAGTAATTTTGACTTTTTTTTTCCAGTCAAGATTCCTGTAAGTAATTCTTTCTCTTCTTTTTCTAGTATTTTCACTAGACATAATGATACCCTTTTATAATTATCTCATGGTTATTGAATATTCTGGATTTCTTTTTTCCATCACACCTTTTTTTCTTTGCATTTCACTGATCTGTCTTCATGCTCACGAGTTCTTTCCCAAACTGTGGGTATTTCGTGATGAGCCTATAGGAACCAGAATTTATTTTCAAGTCCAGTGCTTCCGTTTGGCCTGCTCTTAGAATACCCACCCCTGTGTTTTTATTTTGGTGTCAGTCACCTCTTTATTAGATCTGTCGCATCTGTTAGCACATTAGTCAGAGTCATTTACAGAATTCCCATGTGAAGGGCTTAGAGTAATAGTACAAGAGAGAAGGCCTTGCAAACAACCCACCTGGGTTCAATCCCTGGCATCCCATATGGTCCCCTGAACAAGACCAGGAGTGATTCCTGAGTGCAGAGACATGAATAACCCCCGAGCACTGTGGTGTGGAAAAAACAAGGCAAAAAATTCTTACGTGATTATTCTCTCTGGGGACCTTCTTTGAGACTCTCTCCCATGTTGGTCCCCCAGATGGCTACAGAAGGGACCCGGTCCCCACGCACCCTTGGACGGCAGCTTCTTTATTCCTCCCCCACCCCGGCAGCAGCAGGCACCTGCATCCTCATTCCTTTACCAGGTGCCCCACCCAGGCTGCTCTTGGATTGCTGTTCCAGCACCTGTAAGAGAACATCTAGAAAACAAATATTTTTTAAATATCTGAGGAGGGCAAAAACACAAAACCCAGTGATGGAAATATCTTTGCTGTAAAATCAAAGGAAGGCACCTATCACTGATCCCCAAGAAAAGAAAACCACTGTCAGGCTCTGTGTCCAGCACTGCCAGTCCTGAGCAGGTAGAAGTGTGAGCGTCACAGAGGGTGGAGGCTTCAGCTCCGTCACTCACCTCCATGCCAGTGTGGTGAGGTGTTGTTCTCATTCCAACACTAAGGTCACCTGGGGGCCGAGTTTCTTCCCACTGTGGCGCAGCTGGTGGTTCTGCCCAGCTACTTCATTGCTGTTCCAGACACTGTAGGATGTGAGCGGTGTGGGGGCCCTTTTCCACTGGAGACCCAAAGGACCCCTCCCCTCCCCAACACATGCCATTTTTTGACAGATTAGCCACATTGAGAAACACTGCTTTAAGCGCCAGACCATGCTTCTTGTTTGGTGTTTGAAATTACTGCTTACTAGAACTGCAACTTTCCATTCCAGCCAGACTTGGTTTTTGACAAAAGCATCCTACATTCTAGCCCCAAAGTCCCCCTTGCAGTGTGGTCCACCCACGATGGTTTGTGTTAGCATCTCTTTTGTAGCTCTCACAGTTTTGTTTAATTTGTCACTGTCACTGTCCTCCATTGTTCATCGATTTGCTCGAGCGGGCCCAGTAGCGTCTCCATTTTTGAGACTTGTTACTGTGTCTGACATATTGAATATGTCACGGGTAGCTTGCCAGACTTTCTCGTGCGGGCGCAATACTCTCGGTAGCTTGCCAGGCTCTCTGAGGGGGCGGAGGAATTGAACCCGGCTCAGCCGGGCTGGCTGTGCGCAAGGCAGACACCCTACTGCTGTGCTATCGCTCCAGTTGTTTAATCTAATCATAGAAATCTGCTGACAGAAAATTCTACCCTCTGTTTATTGAATTAAAACTTTAAACCTTTAGCTTGAATTTAATGTTAACATGTGCTGCTTTTTTGAGGTGATCTTCAAACGTTGGCTTTTAAAAATAAGTAAATAAAATAAATTCTAATTGTTCTATAATTTATTTTAATCTAATGTACTTGATTTTTTTAAATGATTACTTTTTAGAGTCCTATATTTCAGAAACATACAAATTACTATGTATATTATATCACTGTTAGCCCACCACATATAGGAAAGCTGCTTTATTATTTTTTATTTGTTTTATTAGTGAAACACCATGAGGTACAGTTGTAGACTTACAAGTTGTTGTGCTTGGGTTTCAGTTATACAATGATCGAGTACCCATCCCACCACCAGTGCCCATTCTCCACCCCCACCAATCCCAGTATCCCTCCCACCCCCCATCCCCCATCCTACCCTGCTTTATTATTTTTTGAGGCAGATAAATGTGTTTTGAAGTAAAATATATATTATTATACTGAACTTAAATTTAAGTTAAATTAATTAAGTTTAATTAAACAAGTTTAATTTTAAACTTGAAGAGTTTATACTACTTTATTTTTTTAGGTAGATAAATATGTTTTGAAGTAAAATGATACTGAAATAATTCCAAGGTAACCTGACCAAAAAGCCAGATTTTGCACACACACACACACACACATACATATATATATATATATATACATATATATATATATATATGCAGAGGAACCCAGGAACCCAGGAACCCAGGTGTGGCACCCGGGGCTTAGATCTCCAAGGCTGCTTGGATCGGGACTGGGCCTCCTCCACCACTGCCCATGGCGCTGTGTAATTCCATCAATGGCCAAGACCCAGAGACTATAAAACCAAGCTCCAGGAAGAGAACAACACACAGTCTCCTTCCCCTACACCTGGCTGTCCTCACCGGGGCCCCTTGGAGGGAGGCAGGTTGACCTCTTATTGTCTAGTTCTTGCTCTCAGAGAACCTGGCAGGCTACTGAGAGTATCCTGCCCACACAGCAGAGTCTGGCAAGCTCCCCATGGTATATTCGATATCCCAAAACCCAATGACAATGATGGGTCTCATTTCCCTGACTCTGAAAGAGCCCCCAATGTGGCATTTGCTAAAATATCAAGGCTAGGAAGATTGGAGACGTTACTGGTGCCTGCTTGAGGAAATCAGTGAACAACAGGATGACAGTGATACAGTGATATATAATATTTTTTAAAGACTTATTTATTCAGTTTTGTTTGGGACCCAAACCCAGGAGAGCTCAGGGTTCTGTGCTTAAGAGTCATTCCTGGCAGTACTCAGGAGACCAAGAGGTACCAGGGATTGAAGCTGACCCTCTTAAAACCCGCACTCAGTGGCATTCTCTCTCTGGGCTTTGTGCATATTATTTTTTAATTAAAAAATTCAGTATTAAATGTCTAGAAACTCATATTTCTTAAATATATAGCTTGTACTTGTCATAGGATTGAAAATTTCTTTGCCATACACAACCTGTGAGTGTGCAGGGTTTTTTTTAGTTTGCACACTCTTTAAAATTACAGTAATAGTTCTACCCCCAAAATATCTCAGTCAGAGGCTGGAGAGATAGTTCCATGGTTAAGACTCCTGCCTTGCTCACAGTGGACCTGGGTTCAATCCCGAGCACCATACCCTATAGTCACCCGAGCACCACCAAGAGTGATTCCTGAGTACAGAGCCAGGAGTAACCCCTGAACACCACTGGGTGTGATCCCCAAAACAAAACAAAACAAAAAAACAAAGCAAAAAATCTCAGTAGGCTAAGAAGATGCTTCAGGGGTCAGGAATACCAGCACTGCATGCTCAGAGACCCAAGTTTGGTCCCCTCCACTCTTTCTCCCCACC